AGAACTCACTTTTAAACCTGTGTTGGTTTCGCACAAATGTTCCATGTCTAGGATGCCACTGCTGCTTCTGCCCAGCAAGGGTGTTCATAAAGTGGACATTTTAGAAGTCATAGGTATTATTATGCTAAGCTGCATTGAATGGAAAGGCTGGGGCAGCAGTGGGGAACCTGTGGCCATCCAGATGCTGTTGGAGTGCCGCTCCCATCATCCCTAGCAATTGGCCATGCTAGCTGGGGGATGATAGGAGTTGGAGTCACAGGTTCCCCACCTCTGGGTTAAGATAAGCTGGTCCTGCTCATCTGCTCCTGCCAACCTAGCAGTTCGAAAGCACATCAAAGTGCAAGTAGATAAATAAGTACCGTTCCGGCGGGAAGGTAAATGGCATTTCTGTGCGCTGCTCTGGTTTCGCCAGAAGCGGCTTAGTCATGCTGGCCACATGGCCTGGAAAAACTGTCTGCGGAAGCGGACAAACGCCGGCTTCCTCGGCCTGTAAAGCGAGATGAGCACCGCAACCCCAGAGTCATCCGTTACTGGACCTAATGGTCAGGGGTACCTTTACCTTTTTACTCATCATGACACAGATCTCTTGTTTTGACTGAAGACAGGGGTATAAGAAAAAAAAAACTTAACAAGCTATTTTATATATATATATATATACATAACAGGCCCCAAAGGGATGGCAGGTAGACCAGGCCAGATGGGAGTCAATGGTTTGCCAGGGTCACCTGGTGTAGTTGGAGATCCAGGGACTCCAGGAAGTACCGGGCCACCAGGATTTGAAGGTAAATGCTTTTTACATTGTCTCTTTAGTGTCTAGGGCAGGGAAGGGAAATCTGTGGCCCTCCAGCCTACGGGACTACAATATCCATCATTTATTAAATTTCCATATCATCATTCTTTGAAGGATCACAGGGTGGTTTACAATACAAAACCACCAATATGCCTAACATAGTAACAAACAAAAGAATAACTTCCCCCCTCCCACAGTTATAAAAGCCATAGATGGTTTAATTAGCCAAAGGACTGGGAGAAGAGAAATATTTTTGCCTGGCACCCAAAGATGTATAATGAAGGCACCAGATGAGCCTCCCTGGGGAGGGCATTCCACAAGCAGGGAGCCACTGCAGAAAAGGCCCAAACTCATGTTGCCACCCTCCGGACCTCTCATGGAGGAAGGAGGCATACAAAGAAGGGCCTCTGGTGATTATTGCAGTGTCTGATATAGGGAGAGCTGGTCCTTGAGGTACTGCAGTCCTGAGCCATGAAAAGCTTCAGAGGTCAAAACCATCACTTTGAATTGGGCCCAGAAACTAATTGGCAGCCAGTGGTCCAGGATTGGCGTTATTCTCAAACTGTCTTGCCCCAGTGAGCATTCTTGAGCACTGGCCATGCTGGCTGGAGTCTAACAACTTTTGGAGAGCCATAGCTATGTGGAAAGAGGAGGTTGGCACACAGTGAAAGCTTTTAAAATCAATGCTCATAGTTGTGCAGGAGAACTTGTTGGGGTGGGGTAGTCTGGGGAAAGGAGGATTCCAGTGCATTCATGCTGCAGTTCTGAAAACAGCTGTGGGGGCCAGAGGCAGAGCTAAATGCTCTGGCACCTGGAGCAGCACACATATTGTGCACCCAGGGCGGGGCTAGCCGCCCGCAGGGGCAAGGCAAGCGTCCCAGGGTGGCGGGGTGGTGATGTCCCCACCCCCAGGGATGACACCCGGGGCGGGCCACACCCACTACACACCCCTTCCTCCACCATCGGTGGGGTCGTGTATGTATAATTAACCAAAGAAGAAGAAAAGACAATGCTGCGCATAAGCATTAGGTGTAACATGTATTTGTTTATTTGTAAACCACAGTTTCATAAAAATAACAGGTGGTGTACACCTTACAATCTTACAATAAAAACATCTGTAAATTCTAGGTGTGGTAGGGGGGATTCACACTGCAGAAGCCCTGTGTGAATAACACTGTTTTTAGGAGACACCCCCTGCAAAAAAAGGGCAAGAATTGTTTCTGCTGAACATGTAGCAGCAGGGAGTTCCACAGCGCAAGGTCTACCAAACTGAAACTTTGGTCCCTTGTAAAGGCTGGCTGAAACTCAGGGGCATTGGGAACCACTAGTAGTGCCCATCAGAGCATCTCTGATGTAGTTTGGCCCAAATTATTAGCTTGGCACTAGTTGAGTAGGTGAGAAGGAAGAGGAGTTCCTCATCCATGACAGCCTCAATCTTGCTGGCACTACGTCACTCATGGCCAGGATCTAACCTCTCTCTTTTTCTCCCCAGGAATGTCTGGGAAGCCTGGTCCTGCCGGTTTACCTGGCATGCCAGGCCGCAGCGTTGGGGTCGGCTACACTTTGGTGAAGCACAGCCAGTCGGAGCAGATCCCGCCGTGCCCTGTAGGGATGAACAAGCTCTGGGAAGGGTACAGTTTGCTGTATGTGGAGGGCCAGGAGAAGGCTCACAACCAGGACCTTGGTAAGCAGGCAAATATTTATTGTTTGTTTATTCAGAAGCCAAAAGGCTCCCCGAATGTTTTACATGCAATCCACTAAAACAAAGCAGTCACTGCCTGCAGGCTTACAATCTAGAAAAACCATGACACACAAGGGGAAAGGGACAGGGAGGGAAGAGGGGGAAATCAAACTCAGCCACCAATTCCTAAAATAGTTGTTTTTGTAATGAGCAAAGGAGCTGCTTGATGGAGCTGGGCTTTTGGCAAAAATGATGGAATGGGCCCTGCTTCCCATCTTTCCCACTGGTGGTAAGGCCACTGGCGGAGAAAGAGGAATGTGGGGGGAGTGCACCGCCCCGTCAGAGGGTGAAAGCAAAGCGGAAGTCATTAATTTGTAGCCAGTTAAGTTCCATAACTGATGTTATATGTTCAGATTTTCCTTCCGCTAGTCATCAACAAACAGAATCACATGCATAAAAGGGCACATGACTGTAAACAAAACAATATATTGATTATAAGAAGTAGCTCAACCTACTAAGATAGACAAAATAGTGTTACTATTGCAAAGTGTACACCTCGGCAAGGCTTACAAAGAAGCATTTGGCACAAAAGTTGTTATTGTTTTGAAAAATGCGCTGAACAGCTGATGACAAGTTTCCAGATAAGGTCCTATTTCGAAAATCTTCCTCAGATGAAAACAATGAATAAACATTGGCATATTCATATCCCTGAAACATGTTATACTTTGCAAGTGTAATGATACTTGTCCGCTGCTTAGAGCATTTCATTGCATTACTTTGCAACATATATTTTGTCTATCTTATTGCAAGCTTAATATAATCAATATGCTGATTCGTTTACAGTCATGTGCCCTTCAGCAGTGTGTGTGTGCTTGGTTTGAATTCAATAAACAGGCCATCTGAATGAGCCTGACGCTCTGAGTTGACTGCCATGCTTTTTCTCTTGCCTCTCCCCTGTAGGTTTTGCCGGCTCCTGCCTGCCTCGCTTCAGCACGATGCCTTTCATTTACTGCAACATTAATGAGGTCTGCTACTATGCCAGCCGCAATGACAAATCCTACTGGCTCTCCACCACAGCTCCCATCCCCATGATGCCCGTCAGCAGCTTCCAGATCTCTCAGTACATCAGCCGCTGCTCAGTATGCGAAGCTCCTTCCCAGGCCGTGGCTGTTCACAGTCAGGACATCACCATCCCTCAGTGCCCAGAAGGCTGGCGTAGCCTCTGGATTGGATATTCCTTCCTCATGGTAAGAGTCCCTTGCTTTGTATGCAGAAGGCACTCAGTTGAGTCCCTGGCAGAATCTCCACTTAAAAAGTAGTCTCTCTCTGCCTGGGGCCATGGAAGGCTGCTGCCAGGCAGTGTAGACAAGGGTAGGCTAGATCGATTGGCAAGAAATTGATCTTTCACTGTGGCAGTAGAAACACCCCACCCACTTGGGAACTTCTTGCCTATGGACACCAGGCAGGCACCTTCACTGTACACTGGTACCTTGAGTTAAGTACTTAATTCGTTCTGGAGGTCCGTTCTTAACCTGAAGCGCCACTTTAGCTAATGGGGCCTCCCACTGCTGCTGCGCAATTTCTGTTCTCATCCTGAAGCAAAGTTCTTAACCCGAGGTACTATTTCGGGGTTAGCAGAGTCTGTAACCTGAAGCGTCTTAACCCGAGGTACCACTGTACTCTTTTCAGGCCAGTTTATAGCACATTTGTTTAGATAAACCTATGCAGACATTTAAAATGTTGGCATGTGTTTTTAAATCTGATTTTTAGCTCATCGCTGATTTTAATTAATTAATTTGTTTAATGTTTCAAAGAGTTGTTTTTAACTGATGGTTTTATTGTTTCATTCTTTCGGCAAAGTGCTTTGATGTTTAATTGCAATCAGGTGCCATATGAATCTCAGGAAATAAAAAAACCCAGCAACAACAGATGAACAAATTATGAAACTGGAGAGTAAGGTCACGTCCGCACCAACCACTTAAAGCACTATTAAAACTGACCTCACAAAGCTGCAATGCTCAGCACAGTTCCCAGGATTCCCCAGGGTTGTAAAAGCGGCATAATAGTGCTTTAAATGGTTAGTGCGGCTGTGACCTAAATATGTGAGTGCCTGCATTCATATAAGTTTGTGTATATGTGTGCCTGTATGTACGCAAGAGCGTATATAAGGGATTCAGCTGGTGCTTGTGTTGGCCCAGGGAGGCAGGGTAGAGGATGAGTAAAGACCCTCCATCCCTTTGTTTTCCCCTTTCCTTCCCTGCAAATTGTAGCTACCACCCGCCCTGAAAGTCCCTGCTCCTGGTTCCATGGACATGAGACCTACAGGTTGGGTGGAAGCTGAGTGCAAAAGGAAGAACTGAACGTCTCTTTCTCTTCTCGGCCTTCTCCATCTGCTGCAAGATACCATAAATACATAAGAGGGGGACTTACCCTGAGTCAGACCATTTGCCGATCTAGTTCAGTATTGTCTACACTGACTGGCATTGGCTCTCTGGGATTTCAGCCAGGGAGTCTCTTCCCAACCCTAACTGGAGATGTCAGGGATTGAACCTGAGACCTTCTGCATGCAAAGGAAATGCTTTGCCACTGATCTGTGGTCCTTCCTCGTGGTGTGATTTTCTTTTCTGCAGGAACCAGAACTGTGAGCATTTTGTTCATCTCTACCAATCCCTGCTGTGGGAGTTTCTTTAACAAAACTGTTTTCTTTTAGCACACTGCAGCTGGAGCTGAAGGTGGCGGCCAGTCCCTCGTCTCCCCTGGCTCTTGCTTGGAAGACTTCCGTGCCACCCCTTTCATCGAATGTAATGGTGCCCGAGGGACCTGCCACTACTTCTCAAACAAGTACAGCTTTTGGCTGACAACGGTTGAGCAGACCCAGCAGTTTGCCGACTTTACCATCTCCGAGACTCTGAAGGCAGGCCAGCTCCGGACACGAGTTGGTCGATGCCAAGTCTGCATGAAGAACTTGTAGCAAAGGCCAGAACTGGTCAGAGCCAACATAAGGGACTTGAGGTCTTGCAGTGCTGGAGACTGTGGGATGTGCAATCTTCCCCGGCTGCAGTAATGGCATTGAAATCACTTCGAAAACCTCTGGGGCCCCCTTGTCTATATTACAGAACATGGTGCTATATTTCTCTCTTTGTTCTTCTGTTCAAGGCTACCTCAGGAGGCCTTTCTCTGGTTTTCCAGGTGCCACTTCCTGCCCTCTCTTTGACATACTAAACAGATTTTAATAGGACCTGTTGAATTTTGGAGAACGTTCTCCTCTTCAGAGCTTTGGCCATTCCAGGCGGCTTCTCATGCTGTTATGGATTAAAAGAGGTTCAACAAATGCCATAGATGTTGACTGTAACAGCCATAGTCAGGCCTCTTAGTGGTTTATTTTAGAAGCAAACCCCCACCCCAGCTTGTCAGAGCTTGGTCCCGTCAATGTGATTTTGCTCACCACAGGTGAGCAGGCACATGACTACATAAACACACAATATCATATTTGAAGCAACTATAAATAATTGTTCTGTCCAGGTCCCTGGAGCAGAGGGTCATACGTGCTGCCTGGCACGTTATTCAACAAATGAACTTGTAAAATGAGTGCCTGCTTCAAACATGATAGGGAAAGCACAAGTGTGCTCTTACTGTAACATGAGGATCGGGTCTGAGGCTTATGCAACAATGAAAAGGTACCTGTGACATAGGCAGAATCAAGTTTATAAAAGACAAGCTCCAAACGTCTTACAAATCAATTATTGTATCTGAAATGATAAATTTAAACTAGTCATTGAAACCACTAAATCAGTTAAAAAATGGAAGGATTTATTATTATGTTGCAGCTATACATTCAGGTGCTTTAGCAATTACCCAGCATTTTTTAAATATGCATTTGGCGGAGAAATTTGTGATGGGTACACTTTTAACACACTATCCTTCCCTGTGTAATGTTTACATATAAAAGTTTAGGAAATATTTCTCAGCATTCCCCTGCTATTTAATGTGCTACAAAGAGATGAGACAGCTGAAGCAAAAATAAGTGTTTTCACACCTACATCTCATTTAGAGCATCATCCTTTGCAAATCAGAATAACGAAATTTACAGGCCCTGTTCAGACATTACTCATATCTGCTTCTTAAGCTGAGACATGCGCACTGTTTGCTCATGCATGTACCTCCCTCCCTCCCCACTCCCTCCTTCCCCACTCCCTCCTTCCTTCCTTCTCAGTGTGCTGCCGTTGAATACTTCCTGTATCAATTAACCATAGTTTTCTGTTGCATCCAAAGCAGGACCACTATTTTTACAAACCTGGATCTGAACCCAACTTCACACCATGGTTTCAGACTCTCTTTTCCAGCTTTTGTAAACATAGCAGGAAACTGTAGTTAATTATCAAAGGAAACCTTCAAATGTGGTGCATCTAGGAAGGGGAGGGCAGTGCAAAGACATACCACGTAGGCAGAAATTGCATTCATAACTCAGTTTAGTAAGCAGAGAATATTATATCCAAACTGGGCAATAATGGATTCTGGATGAATATACCAAAGAGGCAGGTGTATTGAGTAGTTTCCTGTGCTGTATTACTTAGAACTGTAAAAAGCCTTTGCAAAATCACAGCACTCTAGTGGTACTACATTGTACAGATTTTTTGGTTGGCACATGCAGGCAGGCACATGCACTGAAACAACTGCAGGAGGCTGTTCCAGTGCAAGGAGGTACAGTGCATGGTGATATCTGCAAAGTTAAAACAGCCTGAGACTGCATTGTACTGTTACTGAGATACTCCTTCTGATCCTTTCCAGGCTGCCTCTGAATGCACTGGAAAGCCCAGTAGAGAGGGGGGAAAGCCAGCAACAATGTTGGGCTGCCATGCAATTTCCAGTGTTGCTGACCTACCTGCTCATTGCTGGCCTGTCTCTGTTGCCTGTTGGGGTGGCAGCTATGCTGGGAGTTCTGAGCTTGGCTTCATTGAGCCAAAAACGTTTCCTGTTTCCCACCTGGCTTGCCTCCCCATCAGTAGGGAGACAGGGCAGTGGCAGGTGATAATACACTTGGCACCACTTACCACCGCCCCACAACCAGCTGCCTCTCCCTCTCAGTCCTAGGTTGTGGAGGTCAGAGTATGGGACAGGTTGTTGTAGCAGAAACAGACTGCAGGTGCCTGTAGGAGCAGAGAAGCAACTTCCAGCATGGCTCCAAGAATCACCTTTGCATGGGAACAATCGTGCAGAATTGTGTGCATGTGTGGAGCAAGTTTCTGCAAAATGAGGACCTTTTTAAATGTTTTCTGCTGGTTTAATTAAGCATTTAATATAGTATAGCCTGCACTTAAGGTCACATTCTTCAGCTATCTGCTCTGCATGTGCTTTGAGCTCTGCCATGGATTCACTGGATCCAGGTTGACTCACTTCCTAATCTGCTTTAATGGTCTCTGCCATGCATTTGCAGCAGTTATAGGAAGCCTCTGGGCATTTTGTAAAATATGTCTTCTCATTGCATAATGTCTTAATATTTTCCTGTAGATGTTTATGCAAAGTTCCTTGCTTTCTGCTTGTGACACAGGAATAGCCTAGGCTGTGTTGGATTAATCTGTGATAGTCTACTATATGTGGATGGTATTTCGTGGTCATAGGGGACTTAAAAACATGTGCAATAGTTATGCCTCTAAGATGAACAAACCTCCCCGTTTGTTTTTCATTTATTTTTTAGGGTGCTCTATTTTTACTGAGTTTTACACTATAAACAGAATAGCCGGTTATCTTGAAGACCATTTTCAGATGTTTTAAAACCCATGTACCAATCTTTATGGGATGACATCACACTATATCCTGGGTCTCTATGAACCCCTGATTATACCAGGCAGGCTGCTGGTGGTGCATATAAAGATTCACTTTGTCTAAAAGCTCAACCTCCCTTACACTTGACAGCGCTCAAAATCAATCATGATTCTGTACCATTTGCAATAGGAATGCATGCTTGATCAGGTTATTGGGGGTTAATGACTTCTGTATTCACTGGTGCTTTATGGGTCTTGAGTGAAAACGTCCATTTTTCTTTGTGGAATCTAAAGACATATGTGTGAAATTTCATGGTTTTCTCCAATTCTTGTGCTGTACTGTACATAAAATGAAAAAATTTATATACTGGTTACTCAACAGGTTTGCAACTGTTAGAGCACATTTACAGATTTTTGCCTTTCAGAGGTAGCCTTGAAACTGCTGGTGCCAAAGTGATATACACTATAAAACAATTTAGTTTTACACTTAACTTTGAGTAGATGTTAGATTAACCTTTTCTACTGCTTAAGCCATGGCTGGTTCTCTTTTGTTTCAACTGGGGGAGAAGTGTGATTATTTTTGTAATACACTGTCAAAAGCATCTTTAGGGCACAGACTGTATTTTCCATTGTTAATTTTATCAAAAAAGCCATAAAACACAAATATGCCAATTTTGTGAGTTATGCTGTTTTTCCTTATGCAGTTGAATGAACACTGTCCCTTTTTCTTCACCACTCCCCAACTTCTCAGTAAATTTCAGAGTTTTTCTGAACAGGATGCCAGTTTTGGTGCAAGACATAAATCTAATGGAGCTTTATTCAACAGTTGAGTGTTCAAATCAATCAGTTTGCAGTTGTATCACCAGAGAGATCACTAGGGGACTTTTGCTACCTACCCTCCAGATTAGCAGCAGGTGCTGTTTCCTTACAAAAGTACCAAAGGGCAGCTTTCTCTCACATGGAACCACACAATGATTTTTTTATATGGGACACACCACCCTCTAGCAGATTCACACTCCCTGATTGCACAGGTGATGGTTTCAGGAGGTAAATATTTACAATTGTAACTCAGCACCAATTCATTAGGTCTTGTTGCATAACAAGAGGCCAAACATATGTGAAGAAACAGCATACTTGCTTCTCAATGCACAAATGTGTAGTTCTCATCAGATTTCATTTGTAAAGGCAAAGTAGATGCTTAGACCCATATGGAATAATAAGATGCTCATAATGGTTGCCCAAAGCATTGTTTTTACACAAGCAGCTAACCTAACAAGCAAAGTGCTAATGATTATGGCACCAAGGAGAAATAAATGTGCTACGTGCAGCAAAAGTAACCTTTAGGGGGGAAACCTCAAGTTGCAAATAAAACTGCATTGCTAGGATCGCAGAACTATAAAAGTTACACCATCCATGCCTGACCATGTCAAAGTAGTAACAAAGGGGAAGAGACAATAGTTTTCATTTTGCCAGAGAACTTCCTTGGGTGGTTAGAAAGGTCCCAAACAACTCACAAAATCTAGCATTTAATTTATTAAATGTTTAAGAAATTTATTAGATGCACATGTAAAGTGCTCTTACAGAGGAGAGAAAACTGTAAATATTATAAAATAAATACAATTACAGTTTGAAACAAATTACTTTTTTTTACTCAAAAACCAAAGTAGAAAGTTTCCATAATGATTTAAACCTAAGGTCAAGGTGAAATATGTCATGAAAATTACAGAGGAGGAGGAACATACCAAGGGAGCAGGCGGCTCCTGGCACTCTCCAACCTTCACTTCCTTTCCAGGAGTGCAAGTGGGGAGAGGCTAGGAGGCTGGAGGGTTGCCCTCCAGGTCCCCCATTCATTTATTTAACTCCTAGAAACAGGAGGACAATTGCAAAATTTGTATCTATTAGACAGTTCCTTTCATAGAAACATTTAGGTCTGTTTATTTTTGAAGTGTGGTTGCAGAAATGTATTTAAACAAAACCATTGGGTCTTTTTTCCCTGATGCGGTTGATCTTATAAAAACATTTATTCCTATGAAACAGTCCAGGTGAAGAAACAAGAGGTAAACACACACCTTTACCTCTACATCATGCTTTCAGTGTGAACAGAACTCTTGCATTATACTACACTGAGTAATAATAGCCATCCAGATATCAATGCCTTCAAGGCAGTTCCCAGCAATATAAAAGTCTTTACTTCAATATCATCATTGCTTTCATCCCCCAAAAGTTCATTTTCCTCAGGCAAGATACATTCTTAAAAAACTGTGGGGGTGGGGGGTTGGGGCAAGGGGTATGTCCACTTGCACTTCTGGGAAGTTCTTTTCAAAACTGTTGTCCTCAGTTCCAGTTACTGGTCATTTTTTGTGCTCTGTTCACTGTTTATATGCAGGCACTTTTGGGCGAGAAAAGGCTGCCGTGGTCTTAGTCAATTCATATGCTACACATGGGCACACATAAGGTCAACTGAAGCTTCCTTCAGACGCTCAGGATCTCAAACTCTTCTTCCGATTCAAATAGTTTGTCAGTGGACTCAATGAGCTCTGTGGGAAATGGAAAAAACAACTTATTATCAAGAGCATGCACCTCTGGCTTTTGTGCAGAAATTTACAAACTTTACCATGGCAAGCCTCCCTAATTAAAAAACAAACAAACACTAAAATGTCAAACTTTTCCAAATGTAACAAAGATAAGGAAGCTTAGCTATTTATTGCAATTGTCTAAGTTTCAAGAAAGGAGATGATAGATTAAGATTTGTTTTTAAAACTGTTCTCCTTTAACTTTTGCCCCATGGAATATGTGGGAATGACAGTCTTCCCTTCTTCATCAGAGATATGTTGGGCACAATCCAAAGTTCTTAACATGTAAGCTTAAGGCTCAGTTTTAAAGCAAACTTTTCTGTACCTTCAGCAAGGATTCATTTTAAAAAACTGCCTTTGTGACACATAAATTTCTGTGGGTCTCTTTCCTGCAGTCTACAACCTGCAAAGTGCAACTTGCTGTTCCTTAAAGAGCAAGCTTTGTTCTTGTTGTGCCTTTCACCATATTTAGAGACTTTTATGACCTTCTACTTGCATCCAAATCAGCATTAGTGCAATCCTTTTTTCTGCTTTTCCACACTGATGCAAGGCACTTGATTTACCACATCTCCCTTTTAAATCCCCTGTTCCAGAGCTTATGGACTCCATTTGACATGAAGACCAGTTGAACCCCACCCCACCCCACTCCACAATCCTGCCTTCAATCTGCAAGGTCTGCATCAGTCTCATTTGCTGCTACTGTTTCACAGGGAATTCCAGTTCCAAATAGATCCCATCTGTTGGGAGACAGAGATAACTCCTCTCAAGCAGCACTGTGCTTTATATGTATTTACTTAAGATTTTGAGTGCTTCTACCACAGCTAGAACTGGGTGCACCAATTTCCTAGGATGGGCTGAATCTTCAGAGTACTTTGGAAAAGATTCCAGTGCCATTGTGATTTAAACAAACCACAAAATGTCTTGCTGACATTACTGGGATCCATCACATAACCACCAATCCATAGGACCAATTTCTATGTGGCTCTCACTACAAGATAACCAGAAAAGTCACAGCATAACAAAAGGAAAAAAGATTCCATTCCCAGGGATGACAAATTAGTGTGTGTTAATCTAGTGAAAACCTTGGCTGAGCACACAGCTTCATACATCATGAAATTGACTTCAGAAAGAGAACAGCAGTGGGAGGAAGGGACGACAACAAAAGTCTGCAGTACCTTCAAAGTCTAACAGTGCCATAAGCTTCTTTAGGCTACAAATCCCACTCTAGTCCACAAAACTTTATGTCACAACAAAACTGCTAAGTCTTTAAGATGCCACTGCTGTGTTGCAACATATGGAAATGGCTACAGCCTCCGGGAGGAAAAGTGGGGAAGGGTTAGATAGGAACATTTGTTACTTCACAAACCAAGATTCTATCTCACTCTCTGTATCCATATATATATATATATATATATATATATATATATATATATAGTTGCTGGGGTGGGGTGGGGGGAGAAGTTAAACACAATTCTGTACCTGCTCCAGTTGTGGTTACTTCTGGCTTTGTAGGAGGTATGAAAGGGGGCCAGTGCGGTGGATGCTTTTGAACCAACTCAAACATTCGCAGACTCTGTTGCTTAAGTATTTCCTAGGGAGAACAATATTTCATTTTTAAATGTGTGCTGCAATAACAAAACCAGAAAACATAGCTGAATTATATGGGAAGTAGCAGACAGTTTGTGCTCTTGTGCTACAGAATCATCACCATCACTTGTGCAGTCCTTTAGGTAGTCACTTCTTAGTCTAATGATCAATGCTCACACTTTAATGCTTTCATGACTGAAATATCTGTGAGCATTCTTGCAACATCACAAAAGCACAGCTGGAGCTCTTATAGCTGAGCAAAACTCAGGCAGCAGATCATGTTCACCTCGGTTTTATTTTTCTGCAAAGCCACACATTAAGTCCTATGACTGCAAGGAGAACTTATTCAAGGAAAGGCTTAGTAAGGAACATAGGAATCTGCCCTATGCGGCATCAGACTGTTGGTCCATCCAGCTCAGTAACATCTACGCTGACTAGCAGAAGCTATCCAGGATTTCAGAGTTCTCTTCCATACAGATCACACTTAATATTCCTAAATTATTGGACCTTTGTCTGATCCAACAAGGTGCTTACATTGTATCTTGAACTATTTATTTTTTTACTTCCAAAGCCAAGCAGTGTGGTCTGCCACAGTCTCACACTCAAATGCCATTGGGTTGCTTTTCAACAAGTACCAGGACAGTGAGAAGATCCCATAAGTAACAGGCACCTGTACACCAATAACGTGTCTCATTCACAAACCAGGGCTGGCAGATGAAGACATGACACAGGAGCACACACACTTTAGGTATCAGATCAGAATGTAACCTGGGCAATAGATCCAAATATACTTTGGGCCCTGGCTGACCTCTCTACGCAAGCTGCAGGGGCACATGCTGGCTCACACCATCCATTTTCCCTATGCCACCACTGAACCAATTAGCAAATCAGTACAAAGAAATGTGTTGCTGAGCAGAGAGGGCCACAATGGGGAGTAATTTAAAACAGTCTCTCCTTGGTTATATTATTCCATGCATCTCACCCCACCTAATGTACCTAGAGGTTCATTTTAAAGGGGAACTTATGCCAGTTAAAAAGCTTCCTAATGCTTACCTTTTGCACAAGGCTACACCAGTTATCAAAGTCCTTTTCTTCTCTACAAAAGAATCCCTGTGAAGGTACAGGAATATTTTAAGTGAGATATAATTTGGGGGCAAAAAGTACGCAGTCAGAAGTCTGGTGTGGGGAAGAGCAAGATCCAGCTGTCCAAATATTACTTTTCAGGGCATCTTGAATGAACATTATAATAATTCCCCCATGATTGGTCATGCAAGTCCCTCATCAATAGTCAGAAGTGGTACAAAACAAACACAGAGAGCAAGGCCACAAATGGCATTAACACATAAGGCTAAATTAACCAGTATACAAAATATTGGGCAGTTTAGATATGTAACCAAACCAGGGGGCCTTGACATAAGGTAAAGTTAGCTGCCTGTGCATGATAGGGTGGGACAGCATTTGTGTTCCAATTGTGAAGACAAGAGACAAAAGTGTGGGGTATGGACCAGAGGGGTGCAAGGCTGCAGGTCAGGGTGACAGACATCCACTCCTGCCAACACCTACTAAAGCTACAGAGGGATCGAGATTCATTATCTTCATCCGATGTGGTGCTTGCTGGCAATGGAAGCTATGGTCATCTACAGCACCATTTTCTTCAGAATCTACAAAAATCTGTGTGGTGTGAGGGTCCAAGTAGATCAACTCATTTCCTGTGCGGGTAAAACAAGAGCAGTTTGTCAGAAATGGGTAGAACTGAAAGCCATTCAGTCTTGCACTCTGTATTGACATTAACAGTAGGTGAGGTAGGGCAGACGAGACAGTGGACTGAGAAGAAAAATAAAAAGAAGCTGCCAAAGGTAGGAAGCAGAGGCTTAGAAATATAGGAAGCTTCCCCATTGATCCAGCTATCCCAGTATTGCTGTCAGTGATGGGCAGTGGCTCTCCAGGATCCCCAAACGAGAGTCTATTCAAGCCCTAACTGTAGAGGCCAGATATTGAATCTGGGACCTTTTTGCACACAAATTTGTGCTCTACCATTAAGCCGCAGAAGAGATACACAATAATGAAAAGGAGGGAACAATGCAGTGCAGGGGGCAGCAAGAGACCTTTGGCGTCTATGAACACAAGGGGTGCTGATGTTAACATCAGTAGAAAGGCAAAGAGGTAGTAGTGCTGGGGAGGCAGGGAGACCAAGGACCAGAAGGGGAGATGGGATGAGTCAGGGCGACTGAAGGAAATGGAACTAAGCTCAAACATAAGAAACTGAAGGAAGGAGAGTTGAAGGAACCTAAAGGAATGAGGGCAGAGAAGAGATGGAGCAGAGAAAATAAGTAGCCAAAGATGAGCTGGGGGAAGACTTGCATAGGACAGGAAAGGTTGCAAACTGCTTGGAGGAAGGGTCTTAAAAGAGTAGGTGGGCTGGAGAAGCCAAAGCAATGCTTTGGGGAAGGACTAGATTTCATACAGTGATTTGAACTGATCAAACCATCTGCTCTCATACTCCCAACACTGCAACTTGTCAGCACAATGATATCTGGATAAAACTTAATAACCTTAATAGTTTATCCCCATTAAGACAGGCACCTGCTGTTCATTAAGCACAAACTCAAAAGGCTCTCACGTAGACTAGAGGAGAGCAATCTGTATTTTCAACTTCACTCTCCAAACTGGGAATTAGCAACATGTCCACTGTGATCACCACCCAATCCTACCCATGTTTTGATGTCCCATGCTGTGAGAGGGCATGTCTTGTGGCAAGCTTTATGAATAGAGGAAATGCTTTCCCTAACCTTTCTCTGATGAAGTGTGTATTACACACGAAAGCTCATACCATGAAAGCTTATATTTAGTTGATCTTAAAGGTGCCACTGGTATTATTTAAAAATATTTTTTCATCTTTCATCTTATTATTTATTATAACTATGACAGATCAACACAGCTATCCACCTGAATCTTTCTCTGGTATATTAAAGAATGTTGTGGGCCTTTTTGCCTGATCTGCTTGCCTTTGCCTCCAGGCTGAGCCTGGAGTGTCCTTATGTACACTTACAGCACAATACTACTGAGTGCACTCAAAAGCACGGTCTTGTAGAGATGCTTGATCAGTTTTTTGTCATCTTGACTCTAGGAGAATAACAGCAACAAACTGGAAAACCCTTAGTTTTGATAATTTTGTCTTTAACCATTTCCACATCCCCTGGGGACAGACTGGGAATGATCTCCTCCCCACCAAGTTTTCATTGTGGAGAAAAGTGAACAACTGAATACACAAATGTGTGGTTTTTAACCCTTCTTCAAAGAGAAATTAACTTTCCAGAATAAGGGGGAAATCCACATACAAATAGTGATGTTTTGGTCATTCACTTCTCCCCAAAGAGAAAGGAGTAAGAGAACAAAGAAGTGAGGTAGGGAGTATACTAGAGGCCCAATCTAATATTCCTCCTGGGGACATGGGAGGAGTTAGCATTCAAAAAGGCCTGCTAACCACCTTTTCATAGAGTAACTCTATTTAAAAGTCCTACTGATCAATGGATGCATTTATCTATCAAGAACTAAACTATCCATGCCATTAGCCATAACTACTAACAGATATGGGATACCATTATCTTGAACTTTTCCTAAGAAAGGACTGTGTGTGTGTGCGCGCGCGCACGAATATACATGCATGCAGAGGGAAGATTTCATGCATCGTTTCATATTATATATTCTAATGTATTTACAAATTAAATAGGAGAACACACAAGGAAAGGGCAGTGGAGGAAAGAGGTAGAGGATGGAGAAAGGGCCAGGTTTTTTGTACTGTTTGTGAAAATTTGATCAAAGTAATTAAAGGTTTTGAGTCAGGCTGATCATTGATTGTTGGTATTTTTCCTGAATAGCGGTTGGTGGTTCTTGTCCTCATCCAGAGAGACAAAGGGTGAAACCTCCCTGTGGCCCCAGTCTCCTAGCTAGTGACAGAAGCCTGATCACACAACTTCTTTGGCTCTTCAGCCTCAAAGCAAAGTACTGAGTATACGATGCATTATAAAGCAGTACGGAGTATCTTTTATATGCTCTCTTATTGCAGCTGGCTGTTAGGCCCACCTGCATTACTTAGCAAATGCAGCTTTAAAATAATCCTTCAGAAGCAAAAATATTTATTTGGCACTCCACTTATTTTTCCTTACCTAAGAATCCTATAAAGTAGTAGGCATTGTTTGGTTTTCCTCCTAAAGCTCCCAAAGATTGTGGCATCTTAAAACACTCCTACAGATTGAAAGAAGAAGATAAAGAAGAAGAGATTTATTACATTTATATGCCACCTTTCTTCCATGATGGAACTGAAGGCAGCATATACAGAGTCCCCAGGCCTAAACAGACCCAGACCTCTTTAGCTTGAGCAAAGCTGTTTCATCGTGCTCCTTCAGACCATGCATGTTTGCGCACTAGTTATTAAAGTACCTGCAACTGCTCAAAACATTTCCAAACACTCCTATTAAGCTGACCAAATCAATCACTATAAGACAGCCGTACCTTAAAAGCATCAACATAAACCGGATTGATGTGGTTTATCCCCAAGCGAAGAGGTACAATCAGCAGCAGAGGCTTCCAACCACAGCAGATCCCCATAGGGCTCTTGTTTCGGCTGAGCACACTCCTGTGTGACAGGGAGCTGCAGTGGGTACTGGAACAGTTCTGGGATGGAAACCGGCACATCTTCTCTGGGAAATAAGAGACAATAAAACCTAATTGTCCATTCACTTGAGTTTAACTGTTCACTTTAATGGAGGGAGCCATTCCTGTGTGCACACAACTTATCCTTATCTATGAAGTGAATACTCAGTTCAGTGTCCCCAAATACTTGTGGGTTACAGCAAAGACATGCCTTACAGAAGGAACCAGTAGTTAAGAAGAAATTTGTGGTGATTCTGTCTGCCCAACTAGAATAAGCAGGGAAAAGCTAGCTGTAAGTTTTAGAGCTCAGGTAAAGAAGCAAACCCTGAGTTTTCTAAAGAAACTGATTACAAAATAGCAATCAAACCGTTCAGCGGATGCATTGTGACACGTAGCATGGTGATTCTCATGTGGTATGGCTGAGACTGAAACTAGTCCTCTTTTAGCTGACAATCTGTGTCCAAGCATGCTTGTACTGATCTTCATATTTTCCAAGGAATAAAAATCAGACTGGAGCTAAATTCCAATTCAGTTTAAGGCCTGGGTGAATCAGAAATTCTGTTAAACAGCTGGTGCTTATAACTTACTGATATCTTCAATCACAACTGTGTTGTCCATAGACACATAAACGGCTAAGGAATTCCATTCATCAAATAGTGCAAGTTTCCTGGGGTGGGGAAACAGACAGTAGTAAGTCCAAATTCCATGCCACTCAGAGGCCAACACTCTGCCTTCAATATGACTGGAAGACTCTTAAATAAATAAGATGTTCTATCTTTTGAGGAAGAGGTTCTAGTTATTCCCTTTTGTACATCTTGCCACTTGTCTGACCAATTTTTATGATATTATGCTTACTGATACTTCTAGGAGAGGTCATTTTACAAATATATGGATAAAGTTGCACACCAGTGTAGTGGGATTGTCTGTGAGTGTTCAATCCCAGGCTTTAGTGGGAACTGGCAACAGCCAGCAAGGGAAGATTTGCCTCCATCAGGGGCTGAGTGAGTTCCCGTTGCTTAGCCACACTCCCTTGCCACAGAATACATCACTGGGCTCTAGCACTTAGTAGGCTGATGCCAAAGGTCAACAACAGGGAAGATTATGGCAGGATTAGGATTAGGGCAGGAAATGCCACCTAAATAATTCAGGTACCATAGGGGCACAATGAATGACACAAGACTTGAATGTGATTTTCATTATAAATATCTGTTGTAAGCTACTTTCAAGAGCCTCTCAGGGATGCAAGGATTACAAATATAATAAATAAATGTTGTTAGGAAAAGGTCTGCACAAAACCATTAAGAAAGTTATGGAGAACATTTGATCCCCCAGAAGTTGCTGAACTACAATTCCCATCAAGCATGTTCAATGGCCACGGATGACAAAAGTTGTGGTTCAGCAGCATCTGGAGGACCACACCTGCTTTAAAGGAGGAAAAGAAAAACAGGAGATAATTTTTTATTGTTGCAGGTGCTAATCTGGATCCCTGATTTCTGAGATTCAAATTATTAAGGTTCTGCTTGTTTTTACTGAAAATGTTCTGAAGATGCAGGTTGCTATGCTAAATTAATACAAGAGACTGGCAGTTTAACATAATTTTTATCTCTCTATCTGCCAATATTCAGTTGCCACTACTAACCTTCCCCAAGTATGGTCATAGTTCAATCTCCTGTTAACTGCTTATGCAGAAGAGATACATTGCTTTTCCAGCTTAATGTTACTTAAAAATAGGATTTTTACATCAGGTTTGGAATTTCAGGCTGTTCTTAATCAACAGGTCCCCATGCTTTTAAAGCTGCAATTTAAATTTTAGTGCTTCGAGTAATGACAGATAAATTCTATAACATGGGAACAATACGTATCTCAGAATACTGAGCTGCTTCAAAATCTAACCAGAGATCACAACAGTAAGTTGTGATGCTAACTAGAAACTTTGTCCTAGAGGGGTTTTGCCTTCCCTGTTCTATCATATGGATCAATTCTGCAAGTCGTTGCTTGATTCATGCAAGAGATAGTCTGGTGATTAGGAGTGCATAGCCTATGGAGGACAGCTGAAGTCATGCAATGGTTGGTGAACTGGACTCAGGGGACTTGGCTTTAAATCCCTACTATGCCATGTAGCTCTATGAGTGACCATTGGGCAAGTCACTATCTCTCAGTCTAACCTGCCTCAGAAAAATATTCTGGATAAAATTGATAACTATGTGCTGTGCTGGAAAAGGGGCATCAGAGGCTCCACTTGTTCATCCCACAGTGAATATATGCTACCATCTGCCAACAAGGACCTTCTACCATCTGCCTGGGGCAACAAGTCTGTCTCCATGCAAAGACTAAATGGACACAAAACTGAAAATAGTAGGAAACTCTGTTGTTGACTGTTATTCACCATTATTTTTTTAAAAAAATACAAAGTAGGATTGCTGTGTGAAATAGCTGGACAGCAATTTGGTTCAGGACTCAATCACGATCGATTGCAGGTGTTAATGTAACAAAGCCAGGAAGCTTGTGCATAAAAGTTCATGCACAATGATCATCACCACCACCACCACCATTATCTCCAGGGAGAACCTTCATGTTATGAAAGTGCAGCAGAGTTTCAATGTTAAATGAGTGGAACTAAACTGTCTTTCCATTCCATCTAAATTCCACACAAGATATACATGCTTGCTTGCTTACTTGAGCACTTGGGCAACAGTATTTGGTCCAAACCATTCCCCAATAGACTTCCCTTCACCAACACCCATCTGTGCTGTGTAGATTAGAAACAGAAACAGACACACAGAAAAATAAGAAGCATCAGTCTGTCGAATGGCACATTCTTTTAGGCTGCATTGCACACATTCCAAAGCCATTAGAAATTGGGACTACCTTCACACAAATGAGATGGAAACTTGTTCTGTATCAAGGATCACACTGGAATGTTATCACAAGACTAAGAACCTCAGCTAAATATTTTAAGCTTGATTTAAGCCGAGCAGCAATGCTATAGTGTCTGAACCCAGACCACTAGCAGTAAGCCAAAAAGAAGCCAAGAACAAACCTTCAGAGTTCAGAACACATGACAAGCCATAATATGACTTATTTGAGTCACATGAGAGGGAACTATACAGCAAGGGAGAGGCATGTTCCTGATTAAACCATGAATAAAGACAAATTGTGGTTTAGTGGACTGGTCCATATGTCTCAATGAATCTCACATTTCAGAATCATGCCTTTTACCTGGGAGCTCTCATGACATCAAATGATTTGGGAACCTGTATTCTAAATTACAGCCTCATCACCCTATTATTATTATTTCTATATTTGTGTGTGCACATACAAAAACTTATTCTCTTTTGAACTGCTATGCTTTTGACCAAGATTTGCAACTTTTATAGCATTAGAAGGCATACGTGCATTTTTCACGCTAAAATTATGCTAACAGAAGTTTAAGTACACTAAAAGTTTGAAAAACAAGGGTGGAAGAAATAATTCTCAAAGCCAACTCTTACCCATTTGATGGATAGAATAACAGCAGTCTTTTCTGTCCAGGAAACAGCGTAAGATTTTGTGATATTCTTCAGGTTGCCTTTTGTGTTTCTCCCAATGCCAATCTTAGAGAGAAAATTATTCTAGATTTTAAATATCATATCATAATCTTGAAAAGTAGTGTTCAATGGCAGTAGGTGATACATATATACCTTTGGTTATGATAGCTACTGTAATTGTCTAAATTGTTGGTTACAAATCAGGGTTGCATACTTAATAATAATAATATTAATAATAATTTATTTGTGCCCCACCCTCCCTGGCTGGTGCTGGGCTCAGAGCGGCTAATATCATATAAATAACACAGTATACATAAAAACAGGCATCAATTAATTAAAATACATCATAAAATTAATTCAGACAAATTAAAATACCATACTTACTACTAAAAAAAGAATTACAATTGCAGAACCAGGTAATATAATTTCTGAACCAGAAAAAAACTGATTTTAAAATATAACTAGGAAAGCTATACATAATAGCATATTTTCTCTTTGCAAAACTTATTCTGGTCTTTCTAGAATCAACTAGATGAGGCACTGAAGCCCCACCCCAAACAATATAAAACATATTCAGATACCCCTCACCCTCACTCATTTCTCATTCCTACAACCACGACCATTCTGGGAATCTACTGGTGAAAGACCACACTCACCCCTCCCCAAGTGTCGACAGATCAGAGCCTGGGCCAACATCATCTGTCCGCATCGCAGCATACAGCCCCAGCCAGCATCTGAGGAAGGGCCGGTGCCACCTGGGGTCAAGAATCACCACATTTATGAATTTACCCAAAGAAACAACATAGAATGCTTCCCTTCCTTGGATTTTTCTCTTCACATAAAAGAAAACTGCTTAGTACCCACAATAGTTTGCTATTGGAATAATTCTTAGCATGATGAAAATGCAGTGGAGGACCGAGTGAAGTGCATTCACCAACAAGTAGGTTTTAACCTAAGCTGTGGATCATAAATCCAAAATTCTGGAAGAATGTTGTGATAGTTTGATTAATGCCATCCGGCCTTACCCAATCTCGCGACCTCAATATGCTTTGGATTAAAACTCCCTATCAAGCCCAGCCTGCATAATGACCATGCTGGCTGGGGCTGATGGGAATCTTAGTCCAAAACATATGGAGAACACTGAGTTGGAAAATGTAAGAGTATAGACCCACACCCAACTCATAGCATAAGATCACTGAGAGCCACAAAAGAGAGGGTAGAAGATCAAGAGGTCTTTGAAAGTCTGGTGGCAGTTCAGATGGCCCCCTAAAGGAAGGTGATTGGAACAAACCCAATGTCAGGAAGCACAACAAATATCTAAGTGTGTCCCACCAATGCTACCCAAAGCAATTGCTAGACTGCAAAGGCCTCAATGGATCAAGGCAAAAGCCTAAAAGTGTCAGGATCTGTTCTGTACCAAGTAATTCTGTCCACCAAGGGCTAGCGGATACAGCAAACTTTTAAAAAGCATGCACTAAATGATCAAAGGCTGCAAATGCTGTCATCCTGAACTAATTGTTCATTCCTTTACACAGGTCATATTTTTAAGAACCAAACAAAGGGAAGGGGAAGAACCCACACATCTCAGAAAGCATACCTACCAATTGGTGAAAATTTTCTTCTGTAGGTAAACCAAAGACGAGCACTTATATCCAAAAGAAGCTTAGATTTTTCTAGAATTAAAAAAGCATTACAAATAGGGAGTTCAGATTACAAATTTACACAAATTTTTTGTATTCCAAAGACGTCAATATTTGGAGCAGTTGCTTCCACAGTTCACTGCAGAAGTGCAGATCTCTCAAATTCCATGTTATATCAGTCATTTGACTCCATGTTTAACAGAGTTCCATTATTCTTTCCCCTACTTTATTTCTCTCATTCCACAATCTTGAGCAATCCTGATAAGAGGGTCTTTAAATCTCTTTCCATCTGTCCTTGTTCAGCACATGATCACCCCCAAGCTGTTTTTTCACCCAAGAAAGTGTCACAATACCATTCCCTTTCTCAAGAGTCAAGACCACCCTATCAAATAAAGATTGTTTGGCCGTAATCATCCAATTGCTAGAAATAACACAAGTCACATGTGAAAAACCTGACAAAAAAGTATATTGTGTAAGGATGCTCTCTAGATAGCATCCTCCCCTAAATGTCATTTTGGTTTACAGCATTAGTACCCTGGGCATTGTAGACAGCAAATTTATTTTCCAAGATTTCTACTCTCTACACAGATTAATACAGCGGGGCACAATACAAAGTGAGAAACATGAGGTGCTTAAACTAAGCATCCACAAAAGCTTTGTGGACCTTAGAAACAGCTTCCTTCCATTCCTACCTGTTTTAAGATGGTGCTGCCTTCCTAAGATCCAGACAGGCTCATCTGTTTCAGGAAGCTCTTCTACATAGTCTACTAAAATAAAAATTAGGTTTTCATATTTTTTGAAAAATAAACACACATGTAGAACATTTATTCCCTTGTTTTCCCTGTAATTTTAGTACCTGTTCAGTTCTTTCCTAACTAATGAACCTCTTACCAAACCGTCACACTTTGTTTACCCTTTCGGACATTAGAATTTAGACCTCTTACTTTTAGCCAGACTATAGCCTTTGCCATTTGCACTGCAATACTGCTGCCGAAACTGAAACCAGATCCTATGTGGTAAGAGCTGAGCATTAAACATGATGATCTATGATTTGCAAATTTCTTATTTTGGCTGATGTAAAAGGTGCATGAGATAGATTTGTATGTTTTAATTTTCACATGTATGCTGTGATCATATCAGCTGAGAAAGGGTCCCAATACGCAACAGCTTAACAATACGAAAGTAGGTTCGGTCCCTGCCTTTAGGACTAAGGTTTTTTTTAAAGTGTCTATTACTATAGCAATGGCAGATATAAAGTTAGTCATAGTATCAGGGCAAGGAACAAAGGTGTTGCAGAACTGAGATAAACAAAGAACTTGAGTGACAGGAGAGGAAAATAAGCTTATTTTAAAGAAATGTTCCATTTCACAAAATAGTCCTTTCACATGAAAAAAATATTCATTGACCTGATATGCATTTTCAAAATTCCTTATTTTTTGTTGAAAAGAAAGACATTTTCCTATACATGCTGTTTACAAAATTGATCTTTAAAATGTGGGGGACTGTCCTACAATAATGCTTCCATTTCTTCACTATGATGTGAAACAACATATTCTTGGGGTTACCACACTAAATAGCGGGGAAAGTAGAATCATGGCTTCTTTTATGAAGGAGTGTCTCCACCCCCAACATTCTGCCCAGACACTGAGGTCCAGCGCCGAGGGCCTTCTGGCGGTTCTCTCACTGCAAGAAGCAAAGTTATAGGCAAGCAGGCAGAGGGCCTTCTCGGCAGTGACGCCCGCCCTGTGGAACGCCCTCCCATCAGCTGACAAATAAATAAACAACTATCTGGCATTTAGATGACATCTGAAGGCAGTCCTGTTTAGGGAAGTTTTTAATGAATGATGTTTTAATGTATTTTTAATCTCTTGTTGGAAGCCGCCCAGAGTGGCTGGGGAAATCCAGCCAGGTGGGCGGGGTATAAGTAATAAATTAGCATTATTATTATTAATATACTCAATCCTGTACACATGGGGTACTGAATCTGTATTCCTTAAGATGTTGTTGCACTCCAACCCCCACCAACCCTAGGCAGAACAGACAATATCCAAAAATGATGGGAGTTGGAATCCAACAACATCTGAGGGGCCACAGGTTCCTCATCAATGTAAAATAGAATCTTAAACAACAATAGTAAGACCCCGTTTTTCTGTGTTACATGTAAAACATTAAAAGAATGCTTGAGATCCAGAACTTTTAACTATAGTCTTGCCCAGATGTTACTTTTCCAGACAACTACCGTATTTTTCGCTCTATAAGACGCACCAGATCACAAGACGCACCTAGTTTTTGGAGGAGGAAAACAAGAAAAAAAATATTCTGAATCTCAGAAGCAGTGAAAGCAGCAATCCCTCTTGCTGTTCTGGCTTCTGGGATAGCTGTGCAGCCTGCATTCGCTCCATAAGACGCACACACATTTCCCCTTACTTTTTAGGAGGGAAAAAGTGAGTCTTATAGAGCAAAAAATACGGTAAGTACTATAACTACATAAGAAAGTGAGGAAGATTGTTTCTTACTAAGGAGGCTTTGGGGTAGGACCCTCTGTTGGTAGACCACATGTTTGATATGCAAAATGTCCCAAGTTCAATCCATGGCAGCAAATGGATCATGTGACAAGTTACTGAAAGACCCCACTCTCCCCAAGATCCTGATGAGTCACTACCAGCCACTACCACTACCAAACAATATTGGACAAGATGGAGAAATAATCTGAGCTGTAAACAGGCATCTTCCTATCTAGACCTGGATTGAGTTTCCACCTCTACCATGGTTGGATGTGAACTGTTCATTATCTAGAAATCAAGTTATTTCGTGTGTAAAATGCAAGTAAAAGTGACCACCCTATAGAACTGTTGTACACACCCAAAGAAGGGACGCAGGCGGTGCTGTGGGTTAAACCACAGAGCCTAGGACTTGCCGATCAGAAGGTTGGCGGTTCAAATCCCTGCGATGGGGTGAGCTCCTGTTGCTCGGTCCCTGCTCCTGCAACCTAGCAGTTTGAAAGCACGTCAAAGTGCAAATAGATAAATAGGTACCGCTCCGGTGGGAAGGTAAGCGGCATTTCCGTGTGCTGCTCTGGTTCGCCAGAAGCGGCTTAGTCATGCTGGCCACATGACCCGAAAGCTGTACGCTGGCTCCCTCGGCCAATAAAGCGAGATGAGCGCTGCAACCCCAGAGTCCGCGACTGGACCTAATGGTCAGGGGTCCCTTTACCTTTACCTTTACACACCCAAAGACAAAAAATGAGCTTACTCTTAACACTGGCTTAGATTTTGGCCAATCAAATATAAAACTATGTTCATTTAAGAGGGACATAATAAGGATTTTACTGTGAAAGTCGAACTGCTAAAAGCTTATCTAATAATAATGGTTGATAAGACAACTCAGCAATAGACTGCACTCAATTATTTCAATTGATTTTCTCCAAGTATGAGTAATGTTGTATATATCCCAATATATTTAGTTTTAGTGAAGACAGAGTTCTGGTTCTGCATCACATTGCTTTTTCCCCTTTTTGCATTCTTTTTTATTATGACAATAAGTCTCAACGAAAAGCAGCACATAACATCATATTGAAATTACTGCTACTACTAACCACAACTTCAAATAGAACGAACTGTACTAAAACAGAAAAGAATAAGATGTAACACTAAATTGCTGCTGTGAGCTCCTTTAAACAAGCAATAACAAGTCTCAGCGAAAAGCAGTATGTAACACCATACTGAAATTACTGCTACTACTATCTACAACCTCAACTAGAACGAACTGTACTAAAACAGAAAAGAATAAGATGTAACACTAAATTGCTGCTGTGAGCTCCTTCAAACAAGCAAGTGTAATGTTTAAAAGGTCAAAGCAGCCTAATGTCAGCAATTCTTCAGTTCATGATATGGTTTAAAAGGCAGGCTTCTGTGTCTTTCATTTTCAGCAACTTCCTTTGCTAAGCTTAGTGTCATGAAATACTATTTGTTTTCAAGCAAAAGAAGTATGTGCGTGTAGTGATGTGATTCTTAAAAACCTGATTCAGCTCTTAGTAACATCAAGGATTCTCATTCTTGTTATTTCTGAGGGATAATCCACTTAAAGTGGATATATCAAGTGATGAAAAGGTGTGATAAAAATATCTGAGAAGATAAAACATAGTTCGTTGATGTATAGTGAAAATCTCAAGTTTCAATAATTACCTTTTGAGTAAAACAAAAACGAGAGGGGGTTGACACAGAGCTTGCAATTAATAACTTGATTAGTTATAACTTGGAAGATGCAGGATACAAATGAGGAAAAATAAGCAAATAAATAAAGCAAAAATTAACCAGACATTTTAATTGACTTTTTCTATGCTTAAAAATATGCTGCAGCGCAGACTGATCATTCACCAGTGCCATAAAAGCAGGCATGAACTAACCTTTGATACTTTAATTTCCCACGTAAAAGCATCTGCATGACACTCTTTGCATGCACTGCCCGAGTCCTGTTTATTTTTCCAAAAGGAACTGGAAATTTTTAACCATTTAGGTTTCAAGCTTAAGACTGTGCAGTTATTTTAATACAAAGTCTACTGTGACATTTAAAAGAAAACTAGATTTTCTTAATTCATCGTTTCACATTTGAAACTCTGGCAAGGTTTGGCTTCTCTCATTTCCAAGTCCTTACTACAAGGATAGCCTTTTTTAAAAGTTTGGAAATAAAAATAAGAGTCAGAGTGAGTTTTTGACAGATATAAAAGTTTTGTATGTCTTGTCTGCATTATGTGTCATGCTGTAACATTTCTGTCTCCAGTTGTAGGCAAGCAACTTTGCTTTCACTGCAAAACTAGGTTAAAACAAAGCAAACTTTGTTTGAATTTATGCTTCCCCATTTAGTCATAGATCTTACAAATTTGGCAAGTCACCATCTCTCAACTTAAACAATTTCTGAGTTGCTGTGATCATAAAATTAAAGCAAACCACCTCAAAATCCTAGAACAGGGCTAATACATATAGAAATCAACTGAACAAAACCATTTGCACTACAAGTTATGCAGAACTATGATGTTTTCTTTTGTAACGTAAGAGTTGTGTCAATGCTGTAACATGCAACAAGACTGTTGTATAGGGACATCACTGGATTATGTTAGTAACCAATCCCACCCTACACTATCTAAGCCTCAGGATTTGCAGATGGACTCAGCAGCTCAAGTACTAGACAAGGTGGGGAAACTAGAGTTAATTTCCCACAATTATACTTAACGCTTCAGACACAGAAACCACAAAGGGGCTTGCAGCCAGGAACACGCAGGGTGGGTTAGAATGACATCAGCATGGCAAGGAGGTGGCTGAGGAGCCTAGATGTGGGAGTCTTAAGGCTTACAAAAGTAACTCTACAGCTCTTTTTACTGGACATAGATTACTGCAGGAATAAGTGGTGGAAAGCAGCCTCAACTTGTCTTTTGGAGTTGGACCCCTGCCTTCTAATTTGCAAGTTCATTTGCAACTTCATACAGAACTTATTCAACTAGACATATGTCAGCTCATGTACCTACACATATAGTCAGTGTTATTACATGGGCTGGGGAAAATAACACAGTTTGTGATGGTGGGTCAATACCACTGATCACTTTTTGAAAGATTCAAGATAAATGGTAAAAAGAATGCTTTGTTATGCTTGCATTTTGGGCTGGTGATCATAAGAAATTCTAACTCATTTTAATAGCAGTAAACAACACTGCAGTCCTTTGTCACTGGAGGCTCAAGTGGCCTCAGTGGCACCTTTCACTAGACAAGGCTGCTGTAACAAAATGAGCCTGGTCGATCATCCACATTCTAGTAAACTCCAGATTAGATTCCTGCAATGTATAATATATGCGTCTGCCCCTGGGGATTGCTCATAAAATTCGCTTAGGTTGCAGCCCTAACTGCACTTACCTGGAAATCAGCCCCATTGAATTCAACAGGATTTACTTCTAAGTAGACATGGTTAGGATTGTGCTGTTATTCCAGAAAGCAGGTGGTGGTCTTTTAAGTGGGGCACTCTTGGAGGGAACAAATTATGTAGATCTGTTCCAGTTTGGGTTTCGGCCTAGTCCAGGAACACAGCAAACCTTATCTCCATGATGCTTTTGATACAATTGATGGTATCCCTTGGGCCCCCTGGCAACTATGCTGTGGGGTGCCATACATATCCTCTTTTCCCTAATCTTGTTTGACATCTATATGATGATGGTAGGAATGACTTAGAGCGAGGTATTATCAATAGGCAGATGACACCCAATACTGCTTCTCTGTAACATCTGAGACAGGTGTAGTTGTGAAGGTCCTAGACTAGTGCCTGGACACAGTGGTGAGCTGAATAAAGCCTTTTAAGTGGGTGGCTCCAGACCTAGGAATTAGGTGGTGTGCCTGCTCTGGACAGCACTGTACACCTGCTGAAGGAGAACGTGCGTGGTCTGGACATGCTTCATTGTCAGTGAAGACTCACATACCCTCAGTGGTTAGGAGTGCCTTTACCAGCTTTGGCTGGTACACCAGCTACAGCTGTTCCCAAAAAAGAAGGTTCTGACTACAGTGACCAATGCATTGGTAATCTCAAGAATGGATTAATTTGAAGTACCCTGTGCAGGATTGCCTTTAAAAGAAAGTTTGGGAGCTGCAACTAGTGCACAATGAGGCAGCAGCTGAATGGGGCAGCCTACCATTTTTCAATATTTTAATGTCATATTTTAATTTTGTTTTTAAGTTGTATTCATTCAACTTATTTTTATTATTGCTTGTTAGCCGCCCTGAGCCTGGCCTTGGCTGGGGAGGGCGGGGTATAAATAAAAATTATTATTATTATTATTATTATTATTACCATGACCATATTTAATCAATTAGGAAGGAGCTGTACTTGCTGTCAATTTGTTACCAAGACAAATTTAAGGTACTCTTGCAGATATATTAAGCCTCTATAACTTGGGATATCTGAGGAAATGCTGCTACCATACAGATGTGCCTATCTGTAAAGATATCAAAGGAGGCTCTCTTATTGGCACCACTATTAGCTGCAACAACCCAAGGTAGGATATTTCTGTGGTGGCATGCACTCAGTGGAATTCCTTCCCCTCCAATAAAAGGAAGGTATCGACTATTGTAAGTTCTTGATGCTAACTAGGAGATTGAGCTACAACTCAGAAAGTCATTAGTTCAAATTGCACCTCTGTCATGGACTCATTAGCAAGAAGGCTTAGCAAGCCTCTCTCTCTCCCTCATCCTCATACATAGCTGTCAACTTACAGATTTGAAAATAAGGGACCAGCAGCCAAAATAAGGGACCTGCAGCCTCACCTGTTCCAGGCACTCCAGTCTTCCTGTCCTCCTGCAGGCTGGCCAAACTCATTCTGGTAGCTTCGAGAACACTGTCCAACCAACTTTGTAACCAGAGGTTCAACTGAATAGAATCTGAATCACATGCACCACAAGGCCTATGCAGCCACAACTTAAGATGCCTCCCCGGCCTGGCTTTGCACCTCAAAGTTTGCAGCAGCATGTGCAACAAAATGGCGCCCAGCATTCAAAAAACCCCTCAGCTTGCATTAACTAGCCACACACAAGGCATGCAAGCTCCACCCCCCAGTCTTTCTTAGACTTCTTATTGGGTGAGCAACACAGCCAAGCAACACAGTTGGAGCCTCCCTCCTTCCTGGCTGGCTGGCAGGGAGGGAGGGAGAGGAGCTGCTACCTTTGAAATTTAAGGAACATCATTTAAGGGACATCCATCAATAAGGGACAGCAGCGGGACATGGCGCTGGAATAAGGGACTGTCCCTTCAAATAAGGGACACTTGACAGCTATGTCCTCATAGGAGAAACCTTGCTGGTTTGTTGTACTGACTGACACAATGTGAAGCACACTGAATGTTCAAAAATATAATATGATTTTGTCAGTAGCATCAGATGCTGTAGGGAATTACGGTATCTCCTTTCACACACACTTCAATCTTGTCATGCCCCTCAGCTATGAGCTTAAACAGTAGCACACAGGGAAAAGGGCCAGTGAAACCAATTGTGATTTAGGGTGAGGAGCCCTACCATCTTTCCATACTCTGTCAAAACCAGAAGATCAGTTATTCTTACAACAGAGTAAGGTCAGCTGTACATCTTGTTCTGGTTTTCATTTCTTCCCCTCACCCACCATTGCTATTGTTTTTTTGTTTTTTTGTTTTTGGCTCTAATACTTCGTTTTAATAGAAAAGCAGGATATAAATATGGAATACAAACAATGCATCAAATTAGCTTAAAAATACCAGAATCACGATACTGCAGGTTACAGACACCAAAATAAATATGTATGTTGGACATGCACACATTGAAAATTACATATACACAATTCTGAAAACTACAGACACACAATTTTGACAAAATAGCCATCCTATTGATAATAAAAATACCTAAAGCTTCAACCCTATGCACACACAAACATAGGCATACATCCCATTGATGAGTCTACTCCAAGTAGGACTCCCGAGTGGATAGAACCCACACATATAAACAAACCAGACCGACCGACCCAGTTTTAAGTACCCCCCCCCCCCGCATGATGCCGAGCAATCTCATATAGTGAACATGCTGATGTTTGTGAATCACATCCAATATTAGCCCTACTCAAACTGAAGCTAACGGGCACGAAATAACTCGAGTTTGTTTATTTCAGTGTATCTACTCTCGATTAAGACTTAGTTGGACACAACCCGCACATACAGATATAGATAGATATAAAGAAGCACAAGCAAACAGCACCAGTTTTCAGTTTTTCCTTCTTTATATGTGATTCCCAAGCAAGCAGCGAACATGTTGCGTTTGGGCACCCTGAGCTGCATCAAATCTCTACTCAAGAGTAGACTCATTGAAGCTAATGGGCGCGGGCTAATTTAGGCTCATTAATTCCAGTGGGTCTACTCTGAGCTGGGCTTAACACGGTATAAACAAGCAGGCGGACTTAACGGTCAGGCAGGGGAGGGGGGAGATCTGGGCTTCACAGGCACAAATAGGGGGTGGGAAAGGTTCGCTTCTCCCCCTCTCACACGCGCCCTCCCCCGCCAGCCCCTCACCGGACTCCATCCTTCGCCTCCTCCTTCAGCAACCAGCGCCTCCGCCGCCACCATCCTCTCCTCCTCCTCCTCCCTCCTTCGCCCTCCTGCCGTTGCCGAGAGCCTCTCGCTGCTCCGCCCCTCAGAAAACAACACCGCCGCCACGACAGCCGCCGCGGAGCACGCCGGGAGCTGCAGTCCAGCGGCCTCGTCGGCCAAGCCGGAGTCCTTTACTTTCCCTTCCCACCTCCCAGTACTACAACTCCCGTCGGCCCTCCTTGCAGAGTCGCCTCACCGCGACCGCTTTCTGCGCGTGCGCAGCCGCTCACAAAAAAAAAACAAACCACAACCCCACAAGAAACCCCGCACGCCCCTGAACCCTGGGAGTTGAGAGAGCGCGGAGGAGGAGGAGACGGCGGAGGGGGCGGGGAGAGAGCGAGGGTTGGCTGTCTATCCCCGAAGCCTCTCTGCGGATTGGCTGCAGAAGGAGGAGAGGGAGTCTTCGCCCACTTGGCTTTGAAGGCAGAGTGTGTGCGTTGTGGTGGGGGAAGGAGAGGGCCCGGTTTCGGGCTGTTGGCTTCCAGGATGGAGGGTGGGTCTGTGTCCAACGTGGAGGTTTGTAACTTGGCTTACACGGGGCGGCTGGAGGAGCTGAAGGAGCGGCTGAGCGCCAACCGGAGCTTGGCGGAGCGCGCGGACCAGGTTGGCATGGCAACCGGAGGGGGGCGTGGTTAATTGTCTGTGAGTCGGGGGGCTGCCAGGGCTCCACTTCTGAGGCAGTGTGGTGTAGTGGTTAAAGTGGAAACCCGGAGACCTGGGTTCAGCAGATCCCCACTCGGCTGTGAGGCTTTCACTGGGCGGGCTTCCCCTCTTTCTCAGCTTGGGGAGGGAGAAACCTACGCAGGGCGTCTTTTGAGTTCCTTGAAATAAAAGTTTGGCAGATCTGCCCCCGGGACAGGTTCAAGACGTTACTATTAACATATAACAATTTGGGACCAGTTTAACCACGATATCGCCTTACCCCCGCATGTTCCCACAGTACCGCATAATTGACGTTAGTGCAGATGCCACATAAATACCCTTTCAGCATTTGTTAGTACAGTACTCAGTCGTTTAGTTACTGTGGTAACTTTGGAAGTCTCTGCCTATTGAGCTCAAGCAGGTGCCTTCACTGTACTCTTTTCGGTGTCTGCTAAAAGCATCCTTGTTCAGACAAAGCTTCGCAGATGCTTAGAAAGTTGAGCTAATTCTAATCTGTTCTTGTATTTTTAATTTTTGTATGTTTTGAAGTAGGGTTGTGGATTTTACTTGATTTTAGTGCTTTAGCATTTGCTTTGAGGTTTTAATAATCAAGCGAAATATAAAATTTATGAATTTAACAACAACAACAACAACAACAACAACAACAACAACAACATAAAGGCCTTAAACCCAGCCATGTTATTCTATGCCATCGAGGGTGCTTTACTGTTTTTTCTGTGTTTTGTATTTTGTATATGTTTTCAAGTCCTTGAAAAGTGCACCAACCACCCTGGTATTTTCACACCACCCTGGTATTTTCACATGTGGAATAGTAGAGAAATTCCAACAAATAATCAAGCTGGGGCCAGCAACACAATGTTTTAGTTTAGCATGTTCCTGTTCAGGGTACCAGCCAGTTCAGCACCCTGACTTTGAGGAGGCTCCATAACATTCCCATCATTGGTGTACAGTATTCTAGTTTTCTCTCCCAACAGCCAACCAGTATTCTGTGGCCACTGAGCATGCTTAGTCCTCACTGGCTATTTTGAGGGGTTCGTACCCTGATTGTGTTCCTGGCCCTCCCCCGCCAATATATATATATATATATTTGAGATAGTTATATATTGCTTTTCAGAAGAACCTCACAAAGTTTTTCACAAGACCTCACAAAGTTTTTCACAAGACCATATGTTTTATAATAAAACAGAAAGATGAAAGGGAGGAGCTTTTTAAAATCTAGTTTTTCGCATACACATTCTTTATTGCAGTCCAAAGACTCACAAAAACAGTTTTAAAAGTGCAGTAAATCTAGTTTTTGTATTCTTGCAAACTTTGGGGTCTCCTCAATCTCCCTGATTAATCCCTTTTTTTCCTTGGAAGGTGCTGTTTTGCCTACATAAGGATTAGCTATCAGGGAATGAGTTTCCAATTAGAATATAGCAGGGATAGGAAACCTTTATCATTTTAGATGTTGTTGCACTCAAACTGCCATCCTGTCTGATTATTGGCCATGTTGGCGAAGACAGATGGGAAATGAAGTCTCACGCCACCTGGAGGTTGCCCAGTCCTGATATAAATGGCATAGATAAATACAGTTCCTAACATTAAAGAACAGCAGGGTTTATTTCTGCTTGGGAAGCACATAGACACATATGTCTGTGATTCCGAAACTCTTCCCCCTAACTCTTACTAGAGGGGAGAAAGGGTGCTCTGTTTACTAATTCAGTTGAGAATGGGATGCAGTACATACCTGGCAGATGTTTAAATCAGTAAGATTGCCAGATGCCAGGGTTTCAGCTTCTTAAAAGAAGAAGAATGACACTGTAAAATACAGGCAGCTGATTTATTGTGATGTGGGTGTTTTTGGACTTCAGCCCACTTCATTAAATGCATAAAGGGTTTTTTCCTCAGGTGGCAGAGGGCAAGTGTACCAATTAGAAGAGTGAAAATATATCTGCCAACGGAAAATAGCACAATATGCGCCTGAAGACACACCATGCACCCTAAAAGCTTATTTTACAATATGTTTGTTTATTTTTAAAGACATCACAAAGTTATTTGTCCATAGCTGCAAAAAGAATAAACATAGCTACACCTCTAGAAGTAGCATGGGGGTGGTGTTAAATTTCAGGGTGAAAATTCCAAAAATCAATGTTGCATCATGCTGCATTTAAATGCATTTTTTTGTATATAATGACATACCTGAGAGCACGTTCCCAGTAACTATGAAGATTTTGCTACCTGAATCCTGACCACCCATTGGGGTGGGGGCAGTTTGAATGCTCTTCTAAATGCCTGGGGCACTGTCTGGAGAATGAAATGGCCTCTGGGAACATACAAATTGGCCATTATTGTTCTTACTGTTAAATGACTTGCTGCTTGTATAAAGGAGTATCTATCCTTTTTAGTTTTCATCGTTCTAGTTCGTTCTGAATGTTCTGTTAATGCGTCTTTCTAAATAAGGCCACAAAAGTTACTAGTCTGCAAATAATCATAATCATAATAATTGTGGCCTGCTGGGAGCTGACAGAAGAAGAATGGAGAGCTTTGTCACTCCTTCAGCAATCTGCTGCCTGTCTGTACTGGGTGTAATGCTCTGTCCTTTCTCCTCTAGCCCACCCCCATGCCTTCATGCAGTGCCCTCTTGCTTGTGGATACTAGATGTGTTCTTAAATACAAGGTTGTACTAATGCTTATTTGTGTTTTGTGTTTTAGGATAACAGGACAGCCCTACACTGGGCATGTTCAGCTGGGCATGCAGACATTGTCGACTTTTTACTAAGTCTGGGAGTGCATGTTAATGACAAAGATGATGTAAGTTCTGGACTTATTTTTCAGAAAGTGCTTAGGCAGGATCTTGCATGTATAGTTCAGAGGTATATAGTTCAGAGATGGGAACCTCCATCCCACAGGCCAGAGGTTCCAGCTTTGCCCACAAGGCCATTCACCTGACCGTTAGCTGACATCCCTAGAAACGTCAGCTGATGGGTAGAACAGGAGTTAAATTTTGCATTAGCTGTATGCCCTCTTCCCAGGGAACAGGATTGCACAGCCAAGTTAGCAGGATTTTATGAGCAGATTTAAAGCCCTTTGCAAAAGTACTGTTTGCTCAGCTCAAACTGCCCACTCACTTAATGGACAAAGATGAGATGCTTTAATCAACACTTATGCAAGGCACTTTAAAGCAGCTCCATGTTCTCATTTCATGATAAAACCCCAGCGCTAAGCAGGTTGTTATTATCTTTCATTTCACTTCTATACTGCTTTATATTTTAAGGGGGGAAAGCTAAAAGCACTTTACAACTCATTAAAACATCAAATAAAACAATCCAGTGTAAAACATTACTAAAGAAAGTCAGATATAAAATATACATTCAAAGCAACATAATTAACAGGAGACTAAAATGTTATCTTAAACATTCCAATAGAAAACATTACTTCAAGGAAGTCAGGTGTAAAATTCACATTTAAAAAAGCATAATTAACAAAAGAATAAAATATTAAGCACAGAACATATCTGCTGCTGTTGCTGCCAGTTTTGCCAATTCTGGCTAGTGGTGACTGGAAATTCAGGCGATGTCCTGGTTCTGCACTAAGAGACAGCCAGGATGGTCTCAGTGGTTCACATGCACCACATCCCCTTAGTCTGGCTATGTGAGAAAGTTCCCCGCAGGGAGCTTTCTCAGACGCCCTACCCAGCTGCTTGACTGCACATGCAGCAGGCAACAAGGTGCTGCTAACAGGAGAGTTTCTTCCCCTTTGGACAGAAGGTAAAAACTTGCCTTTAGCACTTTGCTGCCTCCCAGATGCTTCAAAGTCCTGACTTCACCATTTGTGACATTAAGTGATTGGTGGGTCATGCCCTCCTCTCAGACTAGGCCTGCAAGGCAAATCTTAATTAGGAACTGGTCTATGAAGCTAAGAAGATTCCCCACTGCTGATATAGTTCCTAATGCTGCTGGAGTTGTTACCAACTACTCTCACGTGTTAAAGAAGAATTAGTGATACACAGAGGTGGGATGTGTGCTGGTTTGTTATCTTTGGCTGCTGTTCTCAACATGAGATGAGGGGTTGTTGTTTTTTACGGACTTCTGGGGCCCTTTTGAGCTGGCACAGCCCTTGTGTGAGGTAAATTTCTGAGCCCCTTCTCAGTTTAAAAGTTCTCATGTGAAATTGAAATGAAGACTGTATGGCTTCCAAAAAGAAATTTTAGAATTGGTGAACCATTCAGTCTTCAGCTACACCTGAAGGAAGGCATAGTTGCTTCTCTTCACTGCTGAAGAAGGCAGGCTGAGCTGGTTTGAAAAGAAAGCTGCAACATTATCATGACTTCTTCTCTGATCCAAAGTCACATAAAGTCGCCGTATAGCTGTGGAAGGCCCAATACAGTGGTACCTCAGGTTACATACGCTTCAGGTTACATACGCTTCAGGTTACAGACTCCGCTAACTGAGAAATAGTACCTCGGGTTAAGAACTTTGCTTCAGGATGAGAACAGAAATCGTGCGGCGGTGGCGCAGCAGCAGCAGCAGGAGGCCCCATTAGCTAAAGTGGTGCTCCAGGTTAAGAACAGTTTCAGGTTAAGTACGGACCTCCAGAATGAATTAAGTACTTAACCCGAGGTACCACTTTATAAGAGGCTCAGAAATATAGTGGTGCTCTAGAAAGCTAATTTGGGGAGGTAGGTGGCAACCAGAACTAGGGAGCCTGGTCCTTTCCTTATTGGCTATTTAATATCATGTGATGGCAGTTGTATAAATGTTGAATGGTGGGCCATATTCCACTTTAATGACCAAAGCTACCTGCTATTGAGTAAGTTCTTAATGAAGTTGAGCAAGTTATTTTATGGAAGAGATGGGGAACCTGTAGCCTTCCAGATGTTTAGGACTCCAGCCCCAAGCAGCATAGCCAATGATCAGCTGTAATCCAACAGCATCTGGAGGTACAGATGTGCCCCATCCCTGTTTTACAGTATTTTCATAGGGGATAAATTTTGTTAAAACCTTGCCATGGTTCTGTAGTATTGGATTTTCTTCCTAACAGAGCTTGAAAGTTTGGTTGTACAATGTCTTAACGGTCCCTGGTGACTAAAAACCATGAGCCAGCAAGTCTTCTGTTTAGAGAGGAAACTGAGAACTCTCTATAAGCCAACCCTAGCTTCCATGTTATCACCGATGCAGAGGTCTGGGGTACTTTCCTCACGACAGAAGTCTTTCTACCTGCCCTGCTTCTGTGAATTGTAAAGCTTATAGTATACTATGCCTTGTTTTCTTTTCACTCCTCAGGCTGGCTGGAGTCCTCTGCATATTGCTGCATCTGCTGGCCGAGATGAAATTGTGAAAACTCTCATTAGGAAAGGTGCTCAGGTGAATGCTGTCAATCAGAATGGCTGCACGCCTCTGCATTATGCAGCATCCAAAAATAGGCAGGAGGTAAGATTTTACTTGCTTCCTCACCTTCTCATTGCTCAACACAAAGCAGCCTGTTTGGTAACCTTCGTCTTTCCCCACTCATAGATTGCACTAATGCTGTTGGAGAATAGCGCTAATCCAGATGCAAAAGATCACTTGGCATCTACTCCACTACACAGAGCAGCATCCAAAGGAAACCTGAAAATGATACAAATTCTTTTGAAGTACAAAGCTTCTGCCAATCTACAGGATTCAGAGGGAAACACAGCTCTGTAAGAACTAACGTATTTGTGGTAGATTTTGCCCTAGTTTGTTTGAACCATACTTTTCAAGTTCATTGATATTAATACTTCTTTACTTAGCACAAACTATTCTCTAATGCTGAGAGTTTTCATTTAACAGGCTCAGTAACTTTTTTTTTTAAACAATTCAAACTGAGCTTCTTGGGATTCTACAAGAGAGGCTGTATTCTAAGATGTATGGTGCATAAACATCCACACCATAGCTGTCAACTGTCCCTTATTTGGCGGGAAACTCCCTTATCCCAGCACCGTTTCCCGCTGCTGTCCCGGATTGATGATGTCCCTTAAATTTCCCGGGTTTCATGCTCACCCGGCTCCGGAGGGAAGCAGCGTCTCGGGGTCCTTCGCCTCAGGCCGCGTCTCCGTCTCTCCCTTTCCCCCCTCAGGGGCGCGTCGTGAGGAGACAGGTGGCGGCGGGCGGGCAGGCAGCCCCTCTTTTGCTAGACTTCCGCCGCGCTGCCCGGGGAAGCTGGAGGCGGTGGCGGTGGCTGAGGAGGCAGCCTGAGGGAGGAGGAAGAGGAGGGACGCAGAAGGGCAGCGCTTCAGCAGCCGCTGTGGCACCACAACCGTCTCATGCCGGGCTCGCAGGCGGCGTAGGCGAGAGTCTCCCTCCCTCCCTCCCTCTCTCTCAGGCGGGGAAGGGTCGATGGAACTCCTTGTGCCAGGATGACGGCAGCCCCGATGTGCTGCTTAGCTTACCCTCCAACCAGTGCAGCATCTTAATGTAGTGATTTCCCCCTCTGCATCCCTTTGCTGGGTTGCTGCACTGTGGGAACCACTGCTTGAGGCTTTGTTTGGCTGCTTTGTTTGGTTGACTAAAATCCCTTATTTTGGCTGCTGATCCCTTATTTTCGAGGCTGCTGGTCCCTTATTTTCAAATCTGTAAGTTGACAGCTATGATCCACACAGATTTTACGCAGCCTAATCCCAAACATAAATCCCACTGAGTTCAGTCCCATTGATTCTTTAGTAAATGCATGTGGGATTGTAGTGAAGAGCCTGGTGTTAGGTATGTTTATTTAAGATATGCATCCTACCAAGCTACTTAACTTCCAAGTAGGTGCACCCTGTTGCAGTTCTGGCCTTGGTTGAGATTTTGCATCAAATTATGATTTTGAGTAACAGTAGTTTGAAATCAAACCATGGCTTGTATGTCCAGGTGAACAACAGGCTAACTGTGAGTTAAAGCTGTTTATGACTATAATCCTAACGCTATTCACCTGGGTTTACACTGTCAGTTGCTTTTGTTTTCTGTCATGAGTTTTGTGACATCCTCTTACCGCAGTAGCATCTAGAGGTGGAACAATTGCTGTAACTATCATGTCAATTCAGATATTGTGCCAAACTATAGTGAATGGTGGTTCAGCGTGATCTTGGTTTAGCATAGTGTCTGAATTGAGCCTTAAACACCTTGATGTAAATGATGGGATTTCACAGGGGGACAGGGGTTAGTTCAGGCCTACTTTTAAAATAGGTGGGGCCTACAAAGAAATACAGGCTGACAGCTCATTACTGCCTTGTCATGTGTCTCTAGCATAGTTGGTAATTTTTCATCTTATTTACAGCCATTTAGCCTGTGATGAAGAGAGAGCAGATGAAGCTAAACTACTAGTGTCTCACGGAGCAAGCATATACATTGAGAACAAAGAAGACAAGACTCCACTGCAAGTTGCAAAAGGTGGCCTGGGTTCCATACTAAGGAGGCTAGTTGAAGGCTAGCTGTGTCAGTCAAATTGAATTCCATTCTTCGTGAAAGTACTGAAGACTTTTCACTGTCTTTAGGTTGGCTTTAACAGTCACAACTTGAATTTTTATTGTACTGCATCAATTACACTTCTCTACATTTTCCATGGCCAAACAAAACTTTATAATTTTTTGTTGCTAAGTTTATTGTTGCTTAAAAAAAATTTAAAGCCCTGCTTTTCCTATAGAAAGAATCTATCTTTCTATACAGGTTCTAACGATCTTTTTAAATACATTTGCTTGTAAAGGAACAGTATTCAATATTTCCTCAAGGCAGTTCTTGTTAACTAAGTTTATTACTCAGTTCAAGTGTCATCATGGTTGTGCGAAATAAAATTTGGGGAAGGAGAATGAGGACTGTGTAAAAGCTGTTTGCTTTGTTGTATGTCTCCTTGGAATTCTTATTTACAGAAACCTGTTGGTTCAACCTTATACCCAGTACAGGGAGAGTGTTATAGGAATGGAGCATTGTGGGAAGGCAGTGGGCTTAATTCAGCTAAAGCGATTATAGATATAGGAAGGCTGTAAACAAAAATAGCCAAGTGCTGTGGCACCTTAACAGATTAAAAGGGTTACTGTGCCATGAACTTGTGTAGACAACTGTCAATCTCAGTAGGCTGCTTCTTAAACAAAATATGTTTGTTTAAAATGTTGCTAAGTAACAGCTATAAAGAGAACAAATAAATCCCAATTTTTGCAGTAAGAACATTTGGCCAAGTTGGATTTGTTTCTCCTCTTCCTCTTCTCCCTTCCCAAGGGTGGTGTTGAGCTGTGTGGCTTAATGCAAATAGCTTTATACAACTGGAATGATTTCTTATGCCCTAAGCTACTTATAATAAAATATTACTTGCTCCTTAGATCAGTTCAGTTCAGTCCTTCATAAGGTGCATAAAAAGTCTTCCAATGTCATAGAACCTGTGGGAAAAGGCTGCTGCTTTTGGTGTAATAGACACACCTAGTGTACTCCTACAGAAATCTTAAGCTACAGGGACACCAATTATTACCAAAAAGTTTCATATTCTGATAGTATTGGTCGATGGACTGTTCTGTAACTATCATCATGTGAATCTAAGTTAATTTTTTCTCTGGCGGCACATGCCATGACTGCTCTTAGTTCCAAGGCTGATAAAATGCAAAGTTGTTTTTTGCTCACTTTTTCATAACTATTAGTATTATATAACATACTACATTGCTAATAGGACTGAGGCATTTCAGAGCACACATTTTGCATTCAGAAGGCCTCAGGTTCAGTTCCTAGTGTCTCCAGTGTTTTAATTTTTTCATGCATAAGGTACTTTGAAAGACCTCTGCCTAAATTGGAGAATTGGTGCCTGTGGAAGAGTTAGCAACATGTATGGATATAGAACACAGCAGTAGGGGATTTGTAAGCCTGTGAAAGAGCACTGCACTTGGGCATTGCTGTTTCTTTTATCTCTGCCCTTTGGCTGTATTCCAGGCCATAAGCCTTACCCTTTGATTGCTGGGCCCACCAGACACATGGACTCTTGGAGGTGGGTTTTCATGTTGCAAATTGGGGTTCCCGTGCTTGAGCAGTTAGAGACCACTCCCGTAGAAAGTCCTCTGCCAAATGGATAAATAGCCTGACCGTGCATAAGGCTGCTTCCTGTGTTCTGTTATAGGCTGCCTTTTCCTATACCTTTTTTAAGTTATGCAGCTGGAGCTTGTATATCACTTTTTCTCATAAGCCCTGGTCTCATCATTGCTCCCAGTATTTTGGAATCACGAACAGCAGCATTGCATCAATAGACTTTCAAGTAATTTTGTAGAGAGAACCCACCCACACCCACCCCATGCATGTGGAGCTTTGGCATTTGGTTGTCTGATGTGTTTCTTTCATTATAAAAGAAATGTAGAGTTGTAGATTTCAACAAAAGTTTATTATGTTTTGGAGTAACAAAAGAATCACTGCAGTTTTCTCACCCCTCATCCTGTTACACATGTAGAATTGGAAAGGGACCCCAAGGGTCATCTAGTCCAACCCTCTGCAATGCAGGAATCTTTTGCCCAACATGGGGCTCAAACCCACAACCCTGATAGAAAGAGTAACCCTACATCACTGATCACAGTTGAGTGGGAGAGCAAATGTGTATTACTCATTGGTAACAAATATATTCTATAAAAGCAAATAACAGAAAAAATACAGATTTGTTTGAGTATAGAGACAGAAGGAAAATTTAACTAAACAGCTAAATACTTCATCCAAAAATTATATTCATGTTATAAAAGGAAAAAGACATCCTGTCATCTTGACTATTAAGCATCCCAGTGAAGCTACAGATGTTAAAAGTTTAAAAAAAAGGTAAAGGGACCCCTAACCATTAGGTCCAATCGTGACCAACTCTGGGGTTGCGGCGCTCATCTTGCTTTATTGGCCGAGGGAGCCGGCGTACAGCTTCCGGGTCATGTGGCCAGCATGACTAAGCCGCTTCTGCCGAACCAGAGCAGCGCACGGAAACGCCGTTTACCTTCCCGCCGGAGCGGTACCTATTGATCTACTTGCACTTTGATGTGCTTTCGAACTGCTAGGTTGGCAGGAGCAGGGACTGAGCAACAGGAGCTCACCCCATCGCGGGGATTCGAACCGCCAACCTTCTGATTGGCAAGTCCTAGGCTCTGTGGTTTAACCCACAGCGCCACCCGCGTCCCTCAAAAGTTTACATGGGTGCAAATTGAACACCATAATTTTATCAGATAGCCCAAGCTAGATGTTCCACGGTGTTAAACTCTATCCAATATTTAGAAACCATATCAGCAATCTTTACCTTGCCTATTTATCATCACTTGGCAGGGGCGGGTTAGATATAAATCTGGGGCCGGATTGATGCAGGCAAATTCAGCGGTGAAGTTTAGATACCCTTAACTTGAAACAAGTCCTCATTGTCCTCCAGCATTTGCTCTAAAGGATATTTGGTTGAGAGCTATGATACAAAATGAAACCTTAGCAGTTTTTAATAGGAACAAAGAAATATACATGAATGCATGGGTACACAGGGTGTAAATGCTGTATTCCAATATACTCTTGCAGCAAGAGAGAACTGCCTGCAGAAGTATACATTATAACACTCGTCCATGCATAACTTTCCATGAGGATGTTTTTCTCAGAGAAGCTGTTGCACAGGAGGATGTTTCTGAAGTTTCCTGTGATTGGAAGAGGAGGCTCAATGAGCTGCTTTTAGGAAAGTTGGGACTGAGAAGGCCCATTGCAAGACAGAGCTGGATGCAAGCTGCTTTTGATCATCCCCATAGTAAGTGCAGTTATTATGTAGGATGAAAAATGTAGTTTGGCAGATAGTTCTAGGATAGCGTTATTCTGAGTAATAACTTAAGCTGTGAGCCGTGGAAGAGCTATGGTTGTTTTAGAGCCTAAAACATCTCATCCCATTTAATAAGGAAAATGCAAAAGAATAATGTATTGGCACAGCATTGTAAGTGCTTTAAAAATATGATTTTTACATATATCTTAAAAGTAGGGGTTGCCAACCTTAAGCCATGGGTACACTTGCATTTTTAAGTGTGTGCTATGGGCTCCAGACTCTGGGCATTTCAGTAGAATTAATCTGAGCCTGGAAAGTACTATAGAGATGATTGAAGGAGTGGAGAAGAGGGCTGCTCTTCCAACATCCTCCTTCAGCTCTGTGTACTTTTCCAAGGGGAGCGGGGAAAGGTGGCCACCCTGACCACCTCATAACAAAGAAGACAGTGAAGGGGGAGAGGTCAGAGGTTTTGTGGGTACCAAGGCAAGACCTCAAGAGCATAGGTGCAACGTTTGCAATACGTGTGCTAAAGGAATAGTACCTGCCTTTCTTTAGCTGTTTGAAAGCATGGGGTCTCTAACTCCTTAAATATCTGTGCTCCAATTCTGAAACCTACATACCAGTTGAAAAGATGACCAGTACTGCTAACCTGCTGGAGGAGAAGGGGGTGGGGAGGTGAGATAGATACTGTGCAGCAGTGTGCATGCAGGCCCAGGCCAGGGGACAAAGCTGCCATGCATGGTTCTGGGTCCTGGATGTTCACATACAGCCAAGGGTGTCACACGCTGAGCAGCCTTTTGTGCATGTAGGCCCTGATCCAAAAGGGGACCTGCATGTAGAAGCCCTTGCTGCACTGGGGGAAGTGGTTAAAATGGTTGTGCTTTTTATAAATTTGTTTCTGGACAAGTTGCTGTTGGGTTCCCTTAACGTTGTGAGGAAAATTTAGGCAACTGGTTGGCGCTCCATTTCTTGTGTCGCATTCTCAGGCATGGCAGCAACCTCAGGCTCCTCTGGGGTGCTGTATTCACTGGTCTCATTGGATTCTTTGCTTGGTGGAACAGCTGCCACTGGGGCACTTTCTTGGCTGGGCACAGCAGCGTAGGCAACATTCAGTGGTTCTTTATGAGCCACAGTCCTGCAAGACAACAAAGTAAGAGCATTAGTATTCAGAAATTTCATGCAAAACAGAGAAGGTTGTAGTACCTTTGGGGGGGGTTTTATTTGGTTGTTGGTTTTGTTATGATTTTATGTATTTGATATTTTATGTGAACTGCCCTGAGACCTTCGGGTATAGGGCAGTACAGAAATTAAATAAATAATAGTAGTAGTAGAAGTAGTAGCCAAATCAATTAAATTTGTCTCTAGGAATAGTTCTCCCTTTTCCTTTATTCCCCAACCCCATCACATTTTTCAGATGGCTCATGGTTTTGAAGATAACAACTCAACAAGCTGCACAGCTACAATGGCTATAAGAAGACAGAATTATAGGGTTGTGTCCAACACAGTGCTAAGTTATAGTACCTTGGTGTATACTGCAAGCGAAATGTTTTGCTTCAGCAGAATGTTGTAGTGCAACAGAATGCAAAAGCTGATTGCAAAGCCTATTGTGCAATAAAGTCACCAGCAACCTGTTGTAGAATAAGTTTCTGCTAGCCCAGCTGTTGCTGTTGTGCTGGATTTCTCTGTTGCACAGCATTAGAACTCACCTGTCTATTCGCAGAAGAGCCCTTGTTCTAGCAGACAGACGGCGGATATAGCCCATCATGTCTGAAGCAAACTTAGAGCAATGCCCTACCTACCCCATGCAGGCAGCAACTACAGCGGGTGGCGCTGTGGTCTAAACCACTGAGCCTCTTGGGCTCGCTGATTGGAATCCACGGAGTTTGCTCTCGTTGTTCTGTCCCATCTTCTGCAAACCTAGCAGTTCGAAAGATGCCAGTGCAAGTAGATAAATAGGTTCTGCTGTGGTGGGAAGGTAAACGGCATTTCTGTGCGCTCTGGCTTCCATCACGGTGTTCCGTTGCACCAGAAGCGGTTTAGTCATGCTGGCCACATGACCCGGAAAGTTGTCTGTGGACAAACGCTGGCTCCCTCATCATGAAGTGAGATGAGCACCGCAACCCCATAGTCACCTTTGACTGGACTTAACCGTCCAGGGGTCTTTTACCTTTACCTTTTTTTACAGCAGGTGTGAGGAACCCTTTTCAGCCTGAGGGACACATTCCCTCATGGGCAATGTTCCAGGGAAGTTGTGTGCCTGTGGTGGGTGGGGCCAGAATAATAGTGGGTGGAGCAGTTGTTATGACTCTTTTTGAACCTTTGTATAGTGGGCTTCATTCCAGCCACAAATATGCCAGGTTTCTGTACACATATCTGCAAGCAGGAACCATTACTACAGTTCAAATAAATATTTCAGCCAGGGAAAAGAACTGGAGAAGAGCATGGAGCGGAGTCAGTGGGAATGGAGAGTGGCCAGTGGGGAGCTACAAGGGCCAGACAGAGAAACCTGGAGAGCTGCAAAGCTGAGCCCCCAAAGCTGAGGTTCCCCATGCCCAACTTACTGCATTTCACTGATTGCAGCTTTCTCTTTTTTCTTCTTTTCTTTCTCCTTTGAGGCTACAACCCAAACAATTACACCAATCAGAGCAGCTGCCAGAATTGCTGCAATTAATGCTCCAACAATAATGCCACCTTCTGAATCTGAAAGAATAGGGAAGCCAACTCATTTAATATATGGAATGAACTTGACAGATTAGAACCAATGCACACTGAGAAGCCGACGCTCGCCTTCTTCAGATGTGCTCCCTGCAAAGCGAGAAAGGTGGTGCTGTTGGGGCAGTAGGCCCATTGCTGATCTTGGGACCCCAGCAGATGCCCGACCTCACCACCTTCTGGCACTGGCCCCTCAAAAGGAAGGTTAGGAGAACATATTTAACCTTCCCTGCTGTTTATGACTAGCTAGCTGGAACACAGCCTGGAATGTTGTTGGTGTTGGGATGGTTCCTTTTTATTATTATTCTTTGGCAGCTGAACGTTTTGAGTAGGTTAACAAAAGCTGGAAATGATTCTGACTCCACATTTCCTTTCAGGTCAGCAGCAATTGATGTTCTTTCAGCAGCTCAGCAGAGAGAAACATTGTCACCAGTGGCAGCTCAAGGTTTTGGAGGGCCCCTGGGCAACCATCCACGGCCCCCTCCCGCCCTCAGCAAGCCTGCCTGTTCAGTGCAGCAGGTTCAGGAGGCTTTTGTCAGTGGGATGTGCATTCTTGGCAGATGCCTGAGTTTGGCATCCCTGGCTGTAGCACCACATCTTTTAAATGTGTCTTTTCCTGTGTCTGTTCTGTTGTTCTTGAAACCATGCAAAGCACTTGCTCAGCTCAGGTCTTGTGCCAGCCCCAGACATCCTGGAGCAGCTAATATTTGGGAATTTCATTGAATAGCTATTCCAAATATAAAGAATGAAAAGGTTGACATAACTATAGCAAACTCACGTTTTGTAGTGAGGTCGATTTGGCAGGTGCTGTTTCCAAGAGAGTTAATAGCTGTGCAACGGTAGTAGCCTTCTTCAAACTTTGTCAGGTTTCCTATTACCAAGCGACCACTTTGAGGAACTGTAACAAAACGAGAGAGAAGTTGAGGTTTAATTTGTTTACCTAACACATTTATACATTCTCACCCCCACCCCCTTCAGTCAAAAAGGCTGCTAGAGCAGCTTACAAAAATCATTAATAAGAAGGTTCCTGTCCTCAGCTGCACAACCTCAGGTGTACAAGAGGCATTATGCACAAAGGAAAGGGAAGAAGTGGGAAAAGTAAGTTCAAGGTGGGGTCAGCTGCCTGTCAATCAGCTGATGTCCTGATGACATCCAGTGACTGAAAGGTGAATGGTCCTGCCCACCTGTCAAAATCAGCACAGGCTGTGGGTTGGGAGAAAAGGGTCTGCAGGGAATTTGTTGGTGAAGAAGAACCATGCAGGACTGAACTCTGTGCTTACCAGATCTCCACTCAATCCTGCCCTCTGCAGGAGTCTGATTTGCCAATGCATTCCCCCACAGGGAATGCACTGGCAAAGAAGGACCCAGCAGGATTGAAGCTTGCCTCTGTGCCTATCAGCTGGTGTCACCCAGTGATTCCAGATGACAGGTGGGCGTGATTTTAAGGGAAATAGATTGGCTCGCAGGCTTTGTTTGGATGGCTGTCCAGTCCCTAAGAAGGGATAGCATGAGGGGCCCTGCAGTGGCCCACTGGGAGTTAGCTTCTGGACAACAGACAGAGGAGGCATGAAAGCAACTGCAGCACAGTTTTCCCCACTAGAGGGAGATGTTTTGTTTTGCAGCCATTCTTTCTAAATTTGCATCGATGCATATAAATCAGCATGTGCACGTCCTATGCAAACCAGTGCCCTCTCTTCTTCTTTTTGGTTTTCTTCCTTTTGGGGTGAACTGTGGGTGGCCACCCTATTCATGTCAGGTGTCTCATAAAGGCAGTAGCTCAGTGGTAGAGCGCCTGCATTGTATGCATAAGGGCACTTGTTCAATCCCCAGCACCTCCAGGTGGGGCAGGGAATTATCCGCTGTCTGAAATCCTAGAGACCCACTGCCAGTCAGCGTAGGCAGCACTAATCTAGGCTGGCCAACAGGACTGACTCAGTATCCTATGACAGATTGCATAAGAGGAAGGACCCTCTCTACCACACTGGAATGTTCTTGGTTAGAGGCAGTTTTTAAAGTTTCCATGCTTGCCAAAGGGATTTAAAGATTTGTTATTTAGAAGAGAGGGAGCAGCACTTTCCCTTGTGAATGGGGCACTGGATAATATTTTGTGGGCTTCAACTTCAGGAAGGTAAAATGTTAAGCAAGAGTTCCTAGATGTTGAAGCAGGTGAATAGTGGGACTCTTCTGCATAAAGGGGTGACCAGCTGTCCTTCTGCTGAGGTTTTCAAGAAAAGGCTGGACACTGACTATCATCAGGGTTACTTTCAGTGTAGAATAAAAGTAAAGGTAACCCTATCATCAGGGTTACTTTCAGTGTAGAATAAAGGTAAAGGTAAAGGTAAAGTTAAGTCAAGTCGTGAACGCCTCTGGGGTTGCGGTGCTCATCTCGCTTTACTGGCCGAGGGAGCCAGCGTTTGTTCGCAGACAGTTTTTCCAGGTCATGTGGCCAGCATGACTAAGCTGCTTCTGGCAAAACCAGAGCAGCGCATGGAAATGCCGTTTACCTTCCCACTGGGGCAGTACCTATTTATATACTTGCACTAAGTACTTTCAAACTGCTAAGCAGGCAGGAGCTGGGACCGAGCAATGGGAGCTCACCCCGTCGCGGGAATTCGAACCGCCAACCTTCCGATTGGCAAGCCCTAGGCTCAGTGGTTTAGACCGCAGCGCCACCCTCTTTATTCATCCCAGATAACCCAAAGCTTCTTGCTACTCAAGAGTTCAGGCAACCACCAGTATTTTTCAGGTGTCCTCTTTAAGCCACCACATCAGGCTTTGCATATTGCCTAAATCAGGGATGGGGAATATATGGCCCTCCAGATGTGCTTGGACTCTAGCCCAAATCAACCCTGCCTAGCATGACCCAATGATGGCAGCTGAAATCCTACAACATCTGGAGGCTACAGTTCCCCCATTTATGCTGCTCAGAGCCAGCCCACCCCTAAGGCAGGGTGAGGCAGTCACCTCAGGCAGCGGAAGGCCCAGAAGCTCTGCCACTGGTGGTGAAGTGGCACCAGCAGTGGCACCAGCTTCCAGTGAGATCTCTCTAAAATCTCGCAAGATATTACAGTGCATGCCAGATCTCAATGGAAACTGTTGCTGTTGCTTTGCAGGCACTGCTGCACAACCAAGTTAAGAGGGCCAGTCCTGCCAACATAACTCAATACACAGATATTACTTACTGTAGTTCCCTGTCACTTGTACAGCTGAATCTCCTGATACTCTGTGCCAGAGGTATATAGGATCAGGCATCCCCTTTTCAGAAAAGCAGAAAAGGGTGATGGCGTGGCCAATATCAGCCTCCTTATCTTGAACAAAGCCGCAGTGAGGCTTGGAGGGGGGGACTAGAAAACAACAGCAGAAAAGGCAGATCAGTGAAGTTCTCCCTGAAATCTGTGGCATCGTTTTAAATACGCCCTGTCCCAGTTATTCTAGAACTATCGGCAAGAAATAAAACTTTATTTTTTTTAAAAAAAATCACTTATTTGATGTTTTCTAAGTTTTACATCACCAAAACATTTAGGATTAAAATAAATTAATTCAGCAGTACGAAAGAAAAACACAGGACTTTTATATATATATATATATATATCATATATATGTATATACCAGCATTTCCCCCCAAAAAACTACCGTATTTTTCGCTCTATAACATGCACCCGACCATAACACGCACGTAGTTTTTAGAGGAGGAAAATCCGTAGGCATGCCACCCGTAGGCATTCCCTCCATAACACGCACAGACATTTCCCCTTACTTTTTAGGAGGAAAAAAGTGAGTGTTATGGTGCAAAAAATACGGTACTTTAGCCCTTGTGCAGTAAAATAGATTTATTTGCATATATGGAGCTGGTAGGGCAGGAGGCAGGAAGCCCAAGCAATAGGAGGAGCCAGAGCCAGTGACAGGCAGGGCCAACTAAGTCTAGTTTTGTCCCCATCTTCCTCCTTGATGGGTTCTGCAAGAGCAACACTGAGACTGAGTGGCTGTAATGAAGAAGTGAGACAGATGCCCAGGGTTGGCTAAGACTGAGATTGGTGGGGCAGTGCCCCATTTGCCATGAGAAACCACCCTCCACTGCTTCAGGGGGCTACTATCACCACCACCTTTTAGGATGGGGTTTTAGGGGGGGGGTCGCTAAAGATTTTTATATTATTTCTGCAAACCTTTGTTCCTTCAAGTCAGCTGACATTTCTTCCCCATATAGGTGGTGCTGTTTTGCCTAACATAATGGCTGGCACTCAAGAGAACTGAGTTCCTTTGTAAGAATATATAACAATAATGATAAGGCACTTCTCTGTAAAAAAATATCCAAAGCCGCTTAAGATGAAAGTCACCCAGTAAAAACACTTAAAAAGACTCACATAAAACTGACAGTGTAGTAACAATCAAGAGTCAGCAGAGCAGGTTTTAAAAATTCAGTAAAAAAAGAATGATGCATGTGAAAGAGCCATGGATCACCCATTAGAACCACGTTGTTCTAACATGTTGACTGTGCCTCTTGCAGTCAAAAGATTGCCTAGAAAATAATGTGGCCCCCAGGCTTTAAATCAGCTTCCATCAGCCCCAGCTAGCATGGCCAATGCAGGGGTGCTGGGAGTTGTAGTTCAGCAACATCTGCAGGGCCACAGGTTTCAGTTTCAGTTCATTTCAACAGACATGGAGCCAAAACAAGGCAATTGAAAAACAAGTGAGAGGTAACAACATGCTTGGTAAAATCCCAAGGTATGCAGAACTACAAGGTGTTAGCAGACCTTGCAGTTTGGATGAATTGTATTGGAATAAGGACTTAAAATTTATGGAGTTCAAAGGCTTTACTCATGCAGGAGCTATTTACAGAATACGTAGAGATAAGAGAGAGAAAGTGACAGACATATTGCTGGGAGAGAGCAGCAAACAAAATGGCTCAGCTTTTAAGGGTAAAGTTAACTTACACAAAGCAAAGATTCCAAGCAAGTGCTGGCTAGGTTGCTATCCAAACAGTGCCCTCTTGTGGTTTAAAGTAACACATGCATTAACCAGAATTCAGCATCTTTCTTTGAGCAACCATAGGAGGAACTCACCTGTCCCTGCCTCCAAAATAGTTCAACAAACACTAGACGTGCTATAGACCTGGAATGCTATATATCAGCTGAAAAAGAAACATGAAAACCAGGGGACTGGAATGCCAGGGAACAACTGGCTGGAGCCCTGATCAGGAGTTTTCCAGTTAGGATCTGTTAACGCTGAGTCTGAAATTCAACATAGTGTACGAAATCAACAGGGATGGTACATAGAAGAAGAAGAAATAAATAAATACCTAGTACGCTGACAGACATTGTTTTTTCACCCTGGGTATTTGGGTTTTCAGGGTTGAAAACTTCACAGGTATAAATACCAGAATCCGATGCCTGCATGTTTAAGATGGTTATTGATGCATTTCCTAGCCCGGTGGCGGCTCGAATGCGACCATGAAACTGTCCATAAGAATTCGAAATGGATCCCTGCCGATAATAAATCTGTAGCACAAAATTTAAAGTCAATCACAGTCATAGTAATGAAATAAGACATTTGTATTTTCTGCTTTTTAAAAAATACTTAGTTCCAGTATCTCTCTGTTATCTTTCAATAAAGTAAAACAGTTGTAAATTCAAGTCAACAGAGAAAACTAGTCATGTTATTGAGTTCCACATGATCACAGCACATATTTTAGGGTTGCCATATTTCAAAAAGTGAAACTCAGGACGCAAAAGTTGTTGAGCTTTTGTTGCTGAGCTGTGTCATTGACACAGGACTTTTCCATAATTCTGGCATCAAGTTGCCAATTGCCAATGTCACATTGATCAGTATAGCTGCTTTGCAAAACGTCATGAAAAATAAAGTGAGTTTTCTGCCTCTCTGCTGCCAGCAAAATGCACCAATTTCTACTACTTTAAGTAAATAAACTATCAATCCCTGTCACCCAGCAGCAAAATCATTCTATTTACTTTACAGATCAGCTTGATTGTATTCAAAGAAACACTCATGCAAATGAATGCTGGATTGACTATTGCTTATCATCAATGTTATCTAGACACTGCCGTTGACTGAAAACAGGATGCACCCTAAAACTACCAAGGGATGTTGGTTACTGCAATCAGGAACACCCCCCCCCCAAAAAAAAATGGTCACACAACTGAAAGCTGTTGCTTGGGGCTGTTACTGTATATGCAACATTGCATCTCCTTCCCAACTAAAAGGAGTGAAATGGAAAGATTTAAAAGTCACAGGGGACTAGAAAATGGTATAAGGGTGACCCCAGAATGTCACTCTGCAGGAATGATTCAATCTCACACCAAAACTTTTAGATGTGAGCATTTAAAGTAGATTAAAAAGCTTTGTCATTCTAGCACACTCACAATATTTTTGTGTATGTGTGTGTGTGTGTGTTGCAGTTTGGGAATTGATGGGGAAATGCACTGAAATGTGTGGGGTGAACGAAAATCAAATCAGCACAAATGCTCATTGTCATATAACCTACTTACAAACAATTCTGAACAAATGCTCAGTAAAGACCAGATATAATCTTACCTCTGCATAAGATTTGGGCAAGCCAATCAGGGCAAATGCTCACTAAATGGGGTAATCTGGAAAAGCCCTAGCTGAAATGAAACTATGTGAATAATTTCAGGGTAGTTGGCCACCAAAGGCCTTGTTTTCTTCTAAAACCAAAGGCTTTAACTCCTGGAAGAAGAATTGTTTATTATGGCCTCAGATCAATTAGCATTCAGTGCAAAAAGAAAAGATACAACACTTTTTAAAAGTACAATTAAAATGCAAATACATTTTTTTTCCTCTCAAGAAGCCAGCAGAAAATTCTCTCCTGATCTGCACTGAGGCCAGAATTTTTTTTGCGACCCTCTCAGATATCTTGGCACCTGAAGTGAACCACAAAATAGTGCCACCACCCTGTCAGGGAAGAAAGAATGAGGGAAGATCTACATCAGGAACAAGGGGAGAGGGTTGATAAAGATCTACAATGGGATCTGCTGCTCTTGTGCCTCCTGCCTCCTGAGATGGTCACCTCATGGTCACCTCACCTTGCCTCTCAGTGATAAAAGAGAACGCATTCCTTAAAAGCAAAACAATACCAAATTTCTGGGAGAGAGATTCACAGAAAAGTTATCAATAAAGAGATAATATAAAGGCTTGACTCCTACACAGAGAACTCAACATGGTCAAAATCTGACCATCAGCTAATTCTGCCAGCAACTCTACTCTTTCCTGAGAGATATACGGAATGCATTTCCACTGTAAGTATGTATTTCCTCTGTACAAAAACAATATAAAAAGAGCCTGCTGATCAGAACAAGGGCTCATCTGGTCCAGCACTCTGTTCTCATGGTGGCCAACTAGATGTCCAGGGGGAGACCACAAACAGAACCTAACTACAACACGGTGATACCCAGCAACTGACAGTCAGAGACTAACTGCCTCCAACATGGAGGTAGGGCATAGCTGTCATGCCTAGCAGCCAACCTCTCCTGCAAAGAGAGGTGTACTGGTAATGTCAAAGTTCAGGAGTTCACCATGGCAGCTCCTGTAGCCACAGTCCACAACCCCGATCCACACTATGCCTGACGTAAATTTTGGAGGTCCCTTGGCACCCCCAAGTACAATAAGTCTACCTCAGCATTGACATTACCACCTGCTCCTCCTAATCATCTTTTCTACCAACTGTCTGCATGCCAGGTAGAGGAGTAGCAAGCAAGCAGTCAATGGCATCTACTGCTCCCTCTCTGGCCCTCCATCCAAGCCAGAGATAGATGAACAAATAGGTTGCAACAGGAAAGAGAAGGAGCAGGTCCAGTGGGTCAGCTGCACATGCATTACCTACGAATCCCTTGTGCACATAAATATACACCCCAAAGCAGCAATGCACAGCATCATTAAGTTTCAGCTGAAGGTATTAAATATAAATAAACAAGAGATTACAAACAAATACCACATATGGACATAATATGACCAAGGGCAGCCCTAAACATAATAAATTGCAATAAGCCAAACAGACCTGAAATCCTTAGCGGTAGAGTCCTACACTGATAGCACTTCTAAGGAGACAAATCCATTCCTTGGTCTTCCCTGGTAGAACCATGGTCATCATAACCTGCTCTGAAACCCAAAGAGCTACCTCTGTTATTATCTATTATGATTGCCCCACAGATTCCTTGAAGGATCAGGGAAGCCATGAGAAGACATCACTATGGCTTTGAACAAGGGTGGAGAACATGTGACCCTCCAGATGTTGTTTGACCTTTCAGCTACAGGCAGCATAGACAGTGGTCAGGGATTATGGGAGCTATAATCCAACAAGAACAGGAGGGACACAGGATTCTAGAAGAAACCAGTAGCTACAGAAGAAGGCACTAGCCCTTTAATTATCCATCCAGGGGTGAGGGGTGAGGCCCAGGCTATAAAATTCGGCACTTGCACCAGGACACTGTTGAGAGAACTCGTATGTTCTGCCTCAGCTGCAGGATCACTAGCTATGGTCACAAAACCCACTTGTAAAGCCTTCTCCAATGTGCTGATCCTGCTTTGCCTAAACTTCCTGTCTGGTTGGACCATTGGGACTACTGACCTCCTGCTTGCATGGTCCATCACCTATACATCCATCATGGTTACTAGAAGATGGATAACTATTTCAAGGTTATATCTGTCCAAACATGGTCATAGTTGGTGAATATCCTGAAGCTGAAAAAAGACACTCTTTGCTACCAAGGACGCCTGATGTTCAAGTGACAATTCTGGATCCAAGAGCATCCCCAAGCTATGAGCCTACCTCTTTAGGAGGTGTGCAATTCCATCAATGGCAAGTTGAACACCACAAAACTGTACAGATGAACCACCTACCAACAAAACGAAACAAAAAAACCCACCCACTAACAGTGTTTTGTTAACCACCCACCAACAGTGCCCCATCTTTTCTGGATTGAGTTTCTTCGTCCTCCACCATACCCAGGCACCAGTTCAGAACATCTACTGCCTCTCTTGGATTAGATGATTAAAAGATATACAGTGGTGCCTCGCAAGATGAAATTAATCCGTTCCGTGAGTCTCTTCGTCTTGCGGTTTTTCGTCTTGTGAAGCACGGCTATTTAGCGGCTTAGTGGCTTAGCGGCTATTAGCGGCTTAGCGGTTTAGCGGCTATTAACGGCTTAGCGGCTTAGCTGCTATTAACGGCTTAGCGGCTTTAAGAAAAAGGAAACAAACTCGCAAGAACTCGCAAGACAGTTTCGTCTTGCAAAGCAAGCCCATAGGGAAATTCGTCTTGCGGAACGACTCAAAAAACGGAAAACTCTTTCGTCTAGCGAGTTTTTCGTCTTGCGAGGCATTCGTCTTGCGGGGCACCACTGCAGAAGTGAGTTTGTATTATTTCCCTTTTTAGCATCTGCCAAATCTGTCAATTTCAGTTTCTCAGTCTTAAATTCAGTTTTCTACATTTCTGCAGTAGTTCACTCCCCACCTCCTCCCCCCAAAAAATCATAAGGAGAAATCACCAGCATTTTAATGACATTTTCTCTAATATACACATTTTTGCAAGCAGTTCCCCTGAATGCATGCTTGTTCGTAATTTTCACTAATATATGCATTTATGTACCCAGTTGCCCCAAAATACACATTTTTGTACATATTGCTTGGTTGCCGAACCACATCACAAAATTTGGAGAAGTGCGAATTTCAAAGGATAGCTGAGTCCTTGACTGCAGATTGTTCTGGAATTAAGTACTTTAATATTCAAATCCCAACTGAACTAATTATCAACTGGGGAACTTTGATTCTGTCACATGAGGACTTGCTGTGACACTTTGAAGATTAATTCTGAAATGCAGTCTTAAGACTGTGTGAGGAAGAAGGTTAGAGCTTATATTTGAGAAAACCTAACTCCAGAAACCTGCAAAGAGGATATAGAAGAACATAAATAACAATGCTAGATATCAAAGTAATATGTTATAATGGGCAGCCTTTGGAAAACTCAGTTTCATAATGAAAAATAAAAACATTTCCTTAGAAAGCTAAAGTTTAAATACGTGCATATTACCTCTCATGTGTTATGGAGCAGAAAACTGGACCATGACACAGAGAAACACGAACAGCTTAAGAACAACACAACATGCCATGGAGCATGCAGTTTTAGTAATTTCATTCAAATACAGAAAAACTAATAACTAGATATGACAGAGATCAAAAGTTACAAATATAGTGGAAAAGGACGCGGTTAAAATGGACATATGCAGAATCGGTGGCAAGAGGTGACTCAGGCTGATGGAACAAAGCAGTGTTAGTATGGAGATGCTACAATTGCAAAAGACCAAAGGGATGATGTCATGGATGATGGGTGGATGAACTAAGAGCAGGGATTATGTGGATGCAAGAAGCAAACAGCAGAAAGTGATGGAGAGAACTTGAAGAGGTGCATATCCAAAGACGGACTTGAGATGCTGTAGAAGAAGAGGTTTGCCTTACCTTATTAAGCCAGCTACACCTTCCCCGTGCATCTGTTAGGTACACCATCATTTGACAATGATCGATGGTCTTTTCATCAATAAGGTGGCACGGGGAAAGCTGCATTTGAGTAGAAATGGGCTGAGAGATGAGTTGTGACTTTTTGAATGCAAAGCCGATGCTTTGCCTACTGACCTACAGCCCTTCCTCTGTGTGTTTGATTATCATTAAGAGGGAGGGGACAAGTCCAAGTATGAAGGCATTCATAATTTCTAAAGCATCAGATAGACATGGAAGCTTGCTAGCTTAACCTGGTATCTTCTCCCAAAGAAAGTAATCAATCATGTTGGAAAGAAAGGTTTCATAATATGCCATCTAAATTAGGGAGGTTGCAGGTATGATGTCATGGTTCATAGCGGGATTATAGTATTGCAGAGGAACATATGAAGCTCCTTATGCCAAGTCAGGCTATTGGTCCATCTAGCTCAGTGCTTCCCACACTTTTGGGGCCACCACCATCCTGGTTCCATAAGATCATCAACAATGCCCCTACCCTACAAGAAGCATTATTCAGAATAGTGGTTTGCATGACTCACTAAGAAAGATAATAACACAATAAAAATTCAACACAGTAGCAGTAATAGTCATAAAGGACAAATTAAGTGTTCAATTAAATTAATACATTCACATTACATTCCTTTTTGATTAAATATTTTCATGGCATGGTCAATAAACATTGAATTGTAGCTATACCATTTGAAGATGTCAGCGTCAACATAAGCTATATTCGGGTTTTTTAAAAAATACACTTTTTAATAGCTGTAGTTCCCCAGGAAAACTAACTTACAGGCACAAGTGTGTGTGTGTGTGATTGATGCACACACAAATAAATATATACTCTGATATAATATTGTAGTTGAAAAAAGAATGCACAGCAAAGAATACTGCATGAAAAATATTTTTAGGCATTTTTACTCATGAAAGCTTAAGGGTGAAGGAAATTATAGCAAAATAGTTATATATAACTACTTAACAAACATATACAAACATCACCTAGCGCAGATGTACAGTAGCTAATTTATAAGAAAATCAGTAGCTATTGTCAATAATCGGCTATCTTGTTACTTGTGACATTTCAGAAGCATAAATACAAACAAACATTACCAAAGTAAATAGCTTTGAAAGAGATAATAACAGTAAAATTTAAATACAAAGCGAGAGAGGGGTTTTGTACTAGGTTCTAGCCTGGTCATAAATAGGTGATCAATGTGCGCATAGGAGCCCACGTTCCTATCACCCCCTTGGCTCTTAGTGTCCTGCCAGGTAATCCCAGCACCCAGGTAATCCCAATCCCACTTTGGGAACCACTGATCTAACTTATTACCTTCTCGCTCTCTATGGAGATTCTAACTCATTGTTGTCTAGGCTGACTGGAAGCCGCTATTCAGGACTCGAACCAGGGTTGTTGTTTTAACTAGCTCTCCCTGGAGTTGCCTGGGATTGAATTTGGAACTTCCTGCATGCAACATACCTACTCAACCTCTGAGCTGAAGCCCTTCCATCTAAACCTCAGGAGAGCAAGTTTAAATCATATTACAACCTTTGGATGTTAGCCTTGGCATTTCATAGCAGAATTATTTTAAAATGCTATTGCAAAACACACTCAGCATTTTGAAAGAGAAAATCTTGCATCAAATAGGTTGTTCCCCTCCCCAACCCAATAATGGTTGTTCCATTATTTCCAGTGGAAAATAGAGACAGGAATCCCACCAAATGACACCACAACAATCCTATTCCCCTACCCTGTTTTTTCACCATATTTGTGGGCATCTGTAGTTCCATCTCCTGACCCCTTGCCTATCAGAGTTTTGCATATGGGGCTCCATCCCATGACATCAGAAGATCCTGACCCCTGGTTCACAATGGCATGAGACCCTGTGCAAAAATTCAAAGTCTTCCAGAGTATTGTTAGAATAGAATCATAGAGTTGGAAGAGACCACAAGGGCCATCGAGTCCAACCCCCTGCCAAGCTTGTTTTCTGTGTCTGGCCTGATTCTGTGGCGGACCATGGCAAAAATTATCAGGCAGTGCTCACAGGGTGATCATATTAAAATATTGGGTTGTATATTGGGTTGAACAGACCCTGTTGCTCTTTGAATGGAAGTACACAACCTGAAGGCATAGGAGAGCACGAGGGAGATGAGTGGTTGCCTTGGACTAGCATATGGAATTCTTTGGTTGGTAAACTAACCGCACAATCCTAGGCATGTCTTCTGAGAAATGAGCACCTCTGAGTTCAATGGGGTTTACTTCCAGGGAAGTGTGTGCAGGATTGCAACCAGAATGTGATAAGAATCAGTAGCCAGTAAAGTGAGATACAGGGAAGTAGCCAATAGGACCATTCCCCAATCCAACAAGTTTGCAGCCACTGCCCTCAAGTCAGAGCAGCTTCAAGTATTTTATTTAAGGGTATATTTAAGGGTGGAATTAAAAAAAACACAAAAAACGCATGTAAAATGACATATGGAAGTAGCTCCCTGCTGTGAACCAAGATTCGCTGCTGTGTCACATGGGAGAGCAAGCAGGGTGGGGCAGAACTGTTTACCCTGGCTTCCTAGCACAGAGGTTGATCCTAGTAACCGAGAGGAAAAGGGAGGGAAGGTCAGTGTGATGTGGGCCTGCACCACCCCACCTCCCCTGCTGCCCCACCCTTCTCCCTCTTGGTTACCAGAGCAACCCAGGTTGGGAGGCCACATAAGCAATGCCTATCCCCACCCCACCCCGTTCCACCCCAATGGCTACTACTGGTCGCATGTGAAATGCTTCCTTCATCTTGTGGCTGCCAGGATGAAGAAAAATAGGGGTTTTGCTCAAGACGGTTAAAGGATTAATCCCTGTTCGAAGTTTATGTCTCCTCCTGCTGTCCCAAGGATGTACCCACTTCCAGGGAAACTTAATTATTGAGTAGAGCAGTTTGATCTTATGCTCTGGTGGTCAGAAGTGACAGGAGGGTGCCAGCACTTAGCTGACCTCCTGGTAGCAGAGTTGCTGCTGCTCACTGGTGGGAGGGAGATAGTTGGGAGGTTTGTATTGTGCAAAAGCACCAGTGGAGCCATATGGTGCCCCTGCCAATGTGTTTGCACCACAATGAACTCCATGTCACCTTGCCCTGCCCACTCTCCCTCCCAGTAAGGGGCACAACTCCACTACTGTGAGGTCAAAACGATTTTTAAATATATTTAAATATTTGGGCCTTCCTTAGAATAACTTAAAACTACATCAAAAACAGCAGTTGGCATTCAAAGCTATTGGTAGCAGGCGATACATAACTAAATACATGGCTATATAGATATATTTCTTAAAGCTTCTTACTATTGGACGGTTCTTCGAATTGTGATTGTAGAAGCTCCACTGAATTAACAAACCAGATATCGACATCTCCGTTCTGTATGTGCAAAGAAGAGTGACATTTGCACCAACGGTTGTGTTCACAGCAGTTTGGGGCATAGTCACAATCACACAGCTCACAGGTCCTGTGGAAAGCAAGGCCAAGCAGGTCAATCAAAGGCTGTGAGAAGCCAAGGAAGTAATACACTGTTCCCATATGTTCCTATATGTTCCCTCCATTGCACCATGATCAAAGGTCCTATCCAGGTTTGCTAAGAGAAGTGCTACATGTGGGTAGGGGCTTTTCGGCTGTAGCATCAACTTTATAGAATGCCCTGCTCTCTGGAAAGGTTGGAGCAGGGCTGTAGCTCAGGGGAAGGGCACCTGTTCTCCATGCAGAAAGTCCTAGATTCAACTCCTGACACCTCCAGAAAGGTTGGGGAGTTTCCCCAGTCTGAAACCCTGGAGAGCTGCTGCCTGTCAATGTAAACGATGAAATGAGCTAGGCCTGACTCAGTTTAAAGCAGCTTTGAATACTTAAGATAAAAGGTAAAGGGACCCCTGACCATTAGGTCCAGTCGTGGCCGACTCTGGGGTTGCGGCGCTCATCTCACTTTATTGGCCGAGGGAGCCAGCATACAGCTTCCGGGTCATGTGGCCAGCAAGACTAAGCCGCTTCTGGCGAACCAGAGCAGCGCACGGAAATGCCGTTTACCTTCCTGCCGGAGCGGTACCTATTTATCTACTTGCACTTTGATGTGCTTTCGAACTGCTAGGTTGGCAGGAGCTGGGACCAAGCAACGGGAGCTCACCCCGTCGCAGGGATTCAAACCGCCAACCTTCTGATCGGCAGGTCCTAGGGTCTGTGGTTTAACCCACAGCACCACCCATGTCCCTTGAATCCTTTGAATGCTTGGCTCTTTTTATTTGCCCCATCAAGTTAAAGCATGGCTTCTCGGGGTATCTTTTGGAAGTCCATCAGGCTGCGGATTCCTAACTCCGTTGCTTTGGTAGTATGCAAGACTCGTCTTCCGCAGTTATTTTATGTTGGAACAAAGATTCTTGTGACTAACAATTAAAGACTAACCATTTTATTATGGCATTACAAGAATAAGTTTGTTAGTCTTTTTATAAGAACTTTGTTCTTTTTGCTGCAATACAGCTACTCTTCTAGAAGATTTACATTGGGCGTTTTTCTCCTTTGTATTATACTGTGCATTTTTATTATGTTTTGAGGTGGTGCCATTTTGGCAGACTAAGTGCAAGAAGGCCATATGGAATTTGAAACTGATTTCCACCCAATCTGAACCTAAAGAACACTGGCATATATAAATAGAAGATAGAATAAAATCCCTCCAGAGGATACTTATTGTTCACAAATGAAAGGGACTTGATTTTGGCTAAGCATTTTATATTGTTTATTTATTATAGTCACTTTCCACGGGCACAGATCTGAGTGGTTTTGCCTTTGCCATGCCACTTTGCCCCAGGAAACCCACACTTTTGTGCGAAATCGGCATTCTGCAGAAAACCCTATTGCCATTTAGCACAATACTGCAGATGTTCCCAGAGAAAAGCAGCAGTGTAGATGAGGCCTTAGTTGGATATAACCCACAGTATAAAGATAAAGGGACCCCTGACTACTAGGTCCAGTCGTGACCGACTCTGGGGTTGCGGCGCTCATCTCGCTTTATTGGCCAGGGAGCCGGCGTACAGCTTCTGGGTCATGTGGCCAGCATGACTAAGCCGCTTCTGGCAAACCAGAGCAGCACACGGAAACGCCGTTTACCTTCCCGCCAGAGCGGTACCTATTGATCTACTTGCACTTTGATGCGCTTTCGAACTGCTAGGTTGGCAGGAGAAGGGACCGAGCAACGGGAGCTCACCCCGTCGCAGGGATTCGAACCGCGACCTTCTGATCGGCAAGACTTAGGCTCTGTGGTTTAACCCACAGCGCCACCCGCATTATATTTAAGTCTAAAAAGGCATGGGCATTCACGAAAGCTTGTGCCAGCCTAATATAAATGTTTCACCTTATAACAATTGACTGGTGTCGTTTCACGAACTACTTTTGAAACTCAGTTTTCTATGAGACATACAGTACAGGTTCTCTGGATCCAGATTATAGGTTAGTAATTAGGTAGTTCAGTCTTCCATGTGTATTAACTCAGAAATAGGGATGGAGGAGGAATTCAGTTCAGCAGGCCAGGATTATCAAATACACAGTTTCAAATGCAAACTGAAACACAGTGATCCTTCAAAATTAACACCTGAATTTTGCAGTGCAGTTCCCCCAACCAAACATGCTTACAAAAACTGCATATATTAGAGGAAATTGTGCGCAAAAATGAAGAAATTGGTGGAAATAATATACATAAATGAATGTTTGGTGGAAATTGTGTACATTAATCAAAACTGCATTTAAAAATATCTATATACTGTATGAAGAAATTCACACTAAAGTCCTGGTGAATTTTCACAAGCACCTTAAAAAATATCAAATTGCTGTAAAATGTGACTTAGTGGTCAAATTTGACGTAATGGTCAAATTGCTGTAATATGTGGAAAACTGCATTTAAGATTAGAAAAATTAGAAACTGAGAACTGAAACTACAGATCTCTCCGTCCCTACTCACAAATCCCACTGCATTAAATGGATCTTACTCCCACGTACTCCAACACCCTCTGAATTAGTAATCTCCGAGTTTTAGAGATACTTTTCAACAGTTTAGAAAAAAATCACACAGTTATCAATGTATAAGAAGTCTTTAAGCTGTGGAAAAATTATTTTTGCTTTAGCTCTATCCCAAAATATATATTGCCTGTGTTGACCACAGTCCAAAAAAGATAAGCCCTTTCATTCTTGTTTAATTTCAACTGCTATATTGCATGAGTCTTACCTGCGATTGCTGCTAGAATTACAAGTATCTTCAACATGGTTGCTGGTGTCTTCACAGGCCCAGAGAGAAAGCGATGCAGATGCTGTTGCATGAAACAGCAAATCCCAACTGAGGACTTAAAAAAACATGCTCTAAGTTTCATTTTATCAGGTAGAGGTATTGGTAAGTCAATAAAACTTTTTTGTTTTTCAACTTTATCAGATTCATAAGACTGTTCTCAGGGTAGCTAGCTGTATGATTTGTTTAGCTGAAATCATTTCATTGGGTGTGTGCTGTTGGGATATGTGTTAATAATAAACCCAACAATTCTGTAGTGCACACAGGGCGAGATTTTACCATCATTATTCATGATGAGAAACCATTTCTGTGGCTACTGTACAGAATTTTAGTTGCATTGAGATGCAAGCTTCTAACTGATTACACAGATTCCAACAGAAGAAACAGTCTATGGGCTAAAAAAGGGTGGTCATTACCATCTGGAGTGAATAAATGAGCTAGGCTCTCATTGGGAAATAAAAACACCCAACCTTAGTTATGTATAAAATAGCAAAAAACAAAAACAAAACAAACCCACATAATATACAGTTTGGAGCTATACCTTTTGCCTAATTTGGACCCCAGAGGTCTCAAATTCACTGGAAAACATCCATAATGTATTAAAATAATTTGGGGGAGCATAATTGAAAAGACACAAACAGACAGTGCAAAACCAGTAAGTCTGGCCCAGGGGAAATACATTCTGCCCCCCACCCCAGAGTTTCATTTCCCAGTCTTTAGATACTATGTATTTTGGCTGGGGTTTTCTTTTTTACAAAGAAAACATAATTAAGGTGGTTTTTGGTGAAAGCTATTCATTACAGATGGCCAACATGGCTGATAATTCTACTATGTTCATATACTATCAAAACAAGGGTACCTTGTTTATTTACTCCAGATGGTAACAACCACCCCTTTCTAGAGCCCTGAACCCCAGATCGTTATAGCTGCTGGCTGATGTAACCCCAAACCATGGGCTAGCAGTATGTGAATGAGCCTACCATCCTCTCAAATTTGCATCCTCCCATCCTCATGTATGGCCAGAAGGTGGAGCTTTTGCCTTTCATTTGAGTTAACAGCAGTTTGACGTTTCACCTGAACCAGGGATTACTGTTTAATACCAACAATCCAAGGGTTGTGTAGATGCAGAACCTTTTTCAGCCAGGAAACCAAATCCCCTTCTGGGCAACTTTCTGGGAGCCAGAGGTAAAGACTGGCAGAACAATTCATACAAATTTTACCATTGAATAGTAGGCTAGTTTTCACGCTGGCCTCCTATTCCCCTATCAGGCAAGCAAGAGATCAGATTTCAAGGACATATTCCAGCCAGGAACAGACATTCTCAAGCACTGTGGGAAACAAAGCGAGTGAGGGTTATGCTCTGGGGAAAGATGGTGTGAGTGGGGAGCGGACAAAGTCTGCAGAGATACCCAAGGATCAGAAATAGAGGCCTAGAGGACAACATTTAGCCATCAGTTCTGATGTTCTCTGCGGCTGATGCAGTACTAAAACCATGATTTACAGTTATGTCTGAGCAGAGCTTTGTGTCTCGCCACTACCTATTCTTTGAAAAACAAACAAATGGGGGAGGGGACCTATCCAGTCTAGTAATTGAGATCTGGTTATACCAAACATCTTCCAACATTTTGTAACTGGCTATGCCCCTGCACTGCTGTTTTGTGGTCTAATAATTTTCAGCCCTTTCAAGTGGGCCCTGGAGTTAGAATGTTTGAGGACCCAAATGGATGGGGGCATGGGGGGGGGGAGAGGAATGTCAGATGGAGAAGTCTGAGGGAGAAATAAATAGCCAGGTAAGGTGGATTTCATTCTTCCCCTTCTCCCTGATGTAGAGCTTCACTCGTCCCTTCCTCTCTAGTGGGGAGATGCCATTTCACACCCTCCAACATTTCTCCAATTAAAATAGGAACACCCTATTCTACGTCAGGAAGCTTCTGATATACTTCTGTCACCTTGAGCCAATTAAAAGCTCTCCGCCTGACCTACCTCACAGGATTGTTGTAGAGGAAAAAATGTGTGAGGTAATGGATCATGTACAACACCTTCCACAGACAAACAGAATAAATTAAAATTTTAGCTATAAGCTGCCTTGAATCCCTGCCAGGGAAAAAGTGGGATATACTACTAGTAGGAACAACACCAACAACAACGGAAATTGAGAATGATCAGGAACATACCAGAGAATAAATCCTATTGAACTCAGTGCGACTTACTTCTCAGTAAATGTCAGCGTCACGATTTCCTTTATTTAGTGCAGGCATTTTATTTTCAGTATCTACACACATACGCCCCCTCCCCCATGCCACTTTAAATTGTTTTCTGAAACATGGAGGGAAAGAAAAAGAAAAACAGGGACATTCTAGGGTCAAATCAGAAACCAAGATGGTTTCTGTAATTCCTGTCCCTGGAAAATTGGGACACTTGGAGGGCATGCTATTTTGTGGTTCGTCTCAGGTGCCAAAATATATTGTGCCAATTGCACACTCCTGTACATAACTATGTAAGTCCCACTAAGTTCAGTGGAGCTTACTATCTGTTAAGTTTGCAGGCTGCAGCCCAAGTTAAATCATTGCTCATTATCTTCTTTGCCAATAATCTAAGAATGAAGTGTCTCCATTCATGCTTATAAAGGAGAATACATAAATTTACTGTAAAACATGAAAATATGATACATTTGTTTCTATGTAATATTTTTGCTTTTAGCTTAGTGAATTCAAACATTAAGGCTGCAGTCTAAACTCCACTTTCAATAAGACTTCCACAGAATTCAACACCTCTCTATTCAATAGAAGCTAGCTCTGAGTAGGTTTGGTTAGGATTATGCAGTAAAATCTCTACCCTGGTTTTCTGGTCTTCATAGAGTTGGCGGGAAGGAAGGAATTAAGGTTGGAAAGGAGCTGATATTTGCCTCAGAACCCTCAGCCAGACAGAAGTTATGAGGTCTGCCTAATGAATAGAATATGTTGCCCCCCTTCCAAACCCTAGGTCTCTCTTGAAATAATGCTGCGTCATCAACAGACCCAAATCATTATTTTCTGAAACTGACTCTCTACCAGCCAAGGCTTTCTCCAGCTGCTAGTGCAAGGCATTAACAAGGAACATTAGCTGGTGCCTGCAATACACATTTGAGAATATGCAGCTGGTGGCATGGAAACACTATCTCAAGATAGGCTGGAAAATTAGCTTCAGTACCAGGCAGTGCATGTTAACACATGAGTCAACACCAAACAAAAGGAAAAGGCCAGTGCTTAGTCACCTACATTTATACACTAAATGCAAATACAGTGAGCCTTCTGTAGAAGTAGAAAAGCATGGTCACTCTCACCCAGGAGAAAAGGAAGGCCCTTAATCCACATCCAGACACTGCTAGTTCTAATCAGAGTAGGCCCATGGAAATTGATAGGCATGACTATTCAGTCCATTAATTTCAATTAGGTCTGTTCTGAGTTGAACTTAATTGGGTTCAACCCATGGCATTTCACAGACAAGCCAGTTGCAGCATGTGTTTGCAGACACCTTAATAAATTAATTCACTTGTTCCGTTGTTTACTTCCCGCAATGTCTTGAAGTTACTTACAAAAACAAACAAATACAATACATACCCCACATAAATATTATCTTTCAGTTTTAATGGCAGACTCAACGCTAACAATACAGGGGGGAGGCATTAAAAGAGGATTAGATAAATTTATGGCGGATAACTTGTTTTGAGTTATTTTTTAATACTGCTTTTAATGCCATACCCCTCCCTGGGACCCTAGGGTGAAGAGCAGCAATAGAGAAAAAAAGAAAGAAATAGCCAGTGGTTACTAACCTGATGAATACGGTCTGTCTCCACTATCGCATGAGGGGTGCTTCTGAGGACCAGAGGCTGGAAAGAAACCACAGGAGCCAAGAGTGCAGTTGTGCTGCAGTTTGGCTTGTGGATTTCACTCAGCGTCTGTTTGTCCCTTAAATGAACAGGATGCTGCACTCTTTTTTGTTCTTACGTATAGTGTTTTTCTTCTTCTTCTTGATAACCTTGCGCAGTACTGTAACTGTTTCATGGTTTGTAGACTAAATAAACTGACCCTGACAATACATATCTATGGAACAATTGTGACATGCTGAAAGTGTTCATCCGCAAAAGTTGATTATGAAAGAAGGGCAGAGTATAGTTTGCAAACGTCACGGTTCCTCCAAGCACACAGATGCTCCAATGTTTATCAGATAGCCTTGCTTTGGGCCTGTTTCATTCAGCGCTTATCACTTGAGTTTGCGAACAAGGATGAGCGGCAGGATTCAAAGGCTGGTGTGGAGCAGCTGCTGGAGAGCAACTGCAATCATGCTCTCCTCTGGGCTTTACAAAGGCTTCTCATGGGTCACTGTGACAAATAGATTGCTTTTTTCTGACTCAGCAAAGCTCTTTTTATGTTCTCAAGAATGGCAAACAGGTGTAGTGTGTCTATTCAGGAGTATTTCTGCTCAGGACTCCAGCCAGCCTGGAACAGGAACTCTAGTACTGATTGGGGCACACAGATTCTTCCCTTTGCTCCACTCTCCTGCAAGCATTTATCTATATCCTATGCACCACAAACGAACATGAAACTGAATATATTTTACATTCCAATATGACATTTAGCATATATCTTGCCCATCATCATTATAATAAAAGGTTGCAACCCATGTAGAGCTAAGTATTGGTACAATTGTTCTGTTGGTGAAAGTTTTTTTGCCCGTGGAATGTGGTTGCCCAAGGGAATTAATAAAGAGTTTCCTCAATTGCAGCTGTTGCATTGGATTTCTCTGTTGTGCAACATTGAAACTTACCTGTCTGCTAGTTTAAGGACCAGTGAACAGAGTACATAGCCCTTGACTGCAGTAAGAAGGAACAAATTGCACGCACCCACCCACACCACATATGGAAAGAAAGAAAGAAAGAAAGAAAGAGAATTATATATATATCCCTTGGGGAGTGTGTTGGTGTGGAATTATGTCTTCTTTTGGAAGTGAAATGTGAAATAGTTATTTGTCTGCTGCCCATGAGTAGGAGTTACATATGAATGGGCCTTTCAGCATAGTCAAGACTGACTCAGAGTCTGCTAACAGGAGTTTCTGTTGTCCTGGCCCTTCCCATTTTCCTTCCTATCTTTAGATAAGGGCCCACTTGCAAATGTGTGTAAGGTTCATTGTTGGAGAATTGAACTCCCAGTTAAAAAGCACTTGAGCCAAAGAGCATAGGTACAGAATAGGTGGTGACAAGAGAAGAGGGCATGGGAGTTGCTCACCTCATTCCAGTGCTTCTCACCTTCCTCACATAAATTTCCCCAAGGAAACCTTGAGAAGTTGTTTAAAGGTGCTGGTGGGGTAAACCACCATTCCTGGCATTGTCTGTGGGAAGCCTTGTGCTTTAAATGTACAGTGTGAATGTGACCCAAGTGTTATTGTTCTCACAAATATGTGATAAGGTTCTGTTACTGAGAGCCCGTGTGTGGTGCAGTGGTTAAAACAATAAGTTCTAGGTTCAATACCTACTTAAGCCATGAAACTCACTAACTGACCTTGGATCTCTTTCTCAGCCTGAAAAACCTTACGGGGTTGTTGTTGTGAAAGTAAAATGGGGTGGGAGAGAAACCATGTATGCTGACCTTGAAGTCCTTGAAGGAAGCAAGAGTTATAAATGAGATAAATAAAATGATCAAATTCTGAGCAAATGTTCCGCTATTAAGCATGAAATCCATACTTAATAGCTTAACATTTACTCAGAAACATGTCCATCTTACGGCCAAAACAGGAATTGCTCAGCAGATGTGTGTAGAAGTATCATAGAAGTGTCACAGAATTATAGAAGGGACAATGAGGACCATCTAGTTCAACCACCTGCAATGCAGGATTCTTTTGCCCAATGCAGCCTAGGACCCTTGTACCTCTCCTGGTATGCCCCACGGAGGACCTTACGGTTGCAAATAATAACATCTTGGAGGTCCCGGGCCTCAAGGAGATTAGACTGGCCTTGCCCAGGGCCCAAGGCCTTTTTGGCTGTGGCCCCAGCCTGGTGGAACGCTCTGTCACAAGAGACCATGGCCCTGCGGGATCTGACATCTTTCCGCAGGGCCTGCAAGACGGAACTGTTCCACCAGGCCTTTGGCCGGGGTCCAGTCTGACTCCCCCTCTCTCCTTATAAGAACTTGCATGAAGGTGGCCCCCCAACTTTTCTCACAGGCTCATATAAGATCAGTATAAACAGTTAGGCTGGGTGACCATTTAAGGCCCCCACCCCTCATTTGTGGGTTGCCATCTGATTAGATTTCACTTTGATTCTGATTTGATTTTAGGATGTACTGTATTTTTCACCCTATAGGACGCACTTTTTCCCCTCCAAAAATGAAGGGGAAATGTGTGTGTGTCCTATGGGGCGAATGCAGGCTCCTTGGCTTCAGCGATAGCAACGCGAAGCCTCCGAAGCCTGCTCCGGAGGCTTCGCATTGCTGTCGCTGAAGCCAGGAGAGTCTGCTCTTTGAGGCTGGCGGTGGGGGAAAGCAGCACTTCCCCCATCGCCAGCCCCAGAGGATGGGGGGCAGCGGGGAGGCGAGAGACGCCTTCGAGCTGCTCCCCGACTCCGCTTTGAGCTGCGCGCTCTTTGAAGGCTGTGCGGCTCCTGGGGGCTTTTCCCGAAGGAGGGAGAAGGGACTGACTGGCTGAGTCAGTCCCTTCTCCCTCCTGTGGGCTTTTGCGGGAGATGGGGGAATTCCCCCACCTCCCACAAAAGCACCCAGAAGCCGCGTGCTTTTTAAAGGCTGCGCGGCTTCTGCGGGCTTTTCTATGAGGTGGGGGAATTCCCCCACCTCGCAGAAAAGCCCGCAAGAGCCACGCAGCCTAAAAAGAGCGCGCAGCTCTTGGGGGCTTTTCCCCAAGGAGGGAGAAGGAACTGACTGGCCATTTCAGTCCCTTCTCCCTCCTGGTCGAAAAGCCCGCAGGAGTCACGCGCGGCTCCTGTGGGCTTTTGCGGGAGGTGGGGGCATTCCTCCACCTCCCGCAAAAGCAGGGAGAAGGTCTTGGAGTAGCACACAGGCTGCGTGCAGCCTGTCCGCTACTCCCAGAGCTGCGGGGGGGGGGTCATATTTTTTTCCTTGATTCTGCCCCCCCCTGAAAACTAGGTGCATCCTATGGGCCGATGCGCCTTATAGGGCGAAAAATACGGTATTTTAATTGATTGCTTGATTTTATGGTAATATGATATATATTTGATGTTAGCCACTCTGAGCCCGGTTTTGGCGAGCGAGGGTAGGGTAGAAATAAAAGTTGTTATTATTATTACTATTATTATTATTATTATTATTATTATTATTAAAGCCACGACCCTGAGATTAAGAGCCTTATGATCTACCAACTGAGCAGACTCTGTCAGACTCCCAACTTTTTTCTTTAATGAAAAGCAGTCATAGAAGGCTGTCTCTCTAAGGAGATTAAAATGGCCAGGAAAAGTGGTCTGTCCCTTTCCTTGCTAACTATTTTCTGCTCAGAATTGGCCCTTCCCCTTCATGCCCATGAGTACAGATGGCAACCATTTTAGGCGCATCCACCTGACGTACAACCGCTGACGCAAAGGTCCTTTTGGACCCGGGAGAGGGAGGAATGGGGGCGGAACAGGGCAGGGCCGAACAGGGTCAAGCAGGCTTCTGCATGCTCCCCCAATGTGCGCTGGGTCAAGAATGGAACCCCTGCACAAAATGCCTGGCGCCTGTAGATATTGCTTTCTCTATCTTGAACAGGAATTGTAGACACATACGAAATAGGGTTCTAGGCTTCATTATACAGATGGCACTGAAATACCGCAGGGGGGGTTGAGTATTTCAGCACGGCATCTGCTGTGTCCCTGTCCGATCTAGAAGAACAAGACATGAAAAACGAGGATTCTCTATGGCTGCATGTGAACTTATTGGATTTTCTGTGCAAATTGTAAATAGCAGAAGGAAGGCCTTGGGTCCCTGGCAAAAGGCCTGACACCATTCTGTGGAGCTGGCCTTGCAAGATAGCCTCTGGAATTGGCCTTGCAGATCCTCCAGGTGTCTTGAAGGACATATTGAAGATACATCTTCCCTTTGGAAATGGCGGCTAATTAACTGAAGTTCGTTGTGGGTGGGCTCTCTGCAGCACTTCATACAGCTGAGCTATCAATACTATGCCTGTAGCTTCTGCAAGATTGCAAATGAGCCACAAAGATTAGTCAGAATCCCAAGGCAGTACAAGTTCCTCAGCTAAATTTATTCAACATTTGTCAGTGACAACAGCTCACTCATAGGAGCACACGAACCAAACTGACTGGACAACACAATAATAAACCCAAGCATGAACTGACCGTTGACAGTTGAAAGTGCATGCACTTACTTGCCATTAGAAGGTTTGTCTACCAATGCTTATACGATTGGTTAGTACATGCCTTGTAACATAAACTGTGTTAAACCCAACACATAACAACTAGATTAGAAGGAATAAACTTTATTTAGCAGTGCACAACTACCTAGTGAGATCTCCTGAACTTCCTTTCTGTTAAGTTGTGGGTGAACATATCAGATGACACAGTGATTTCTCCAAAGCAACTATTTATTTGTAAGCTGGAACAGAACTGAACTGAACAGCAAACAGCTCAGCCAGCCTGCATTTATAGGCAGCCGGCTGTCAACATTGTAGCAACAACAGCCCAGGGTTTCCCGCCTAAATTAATTGATGTGGACCTGAGTGAAAACTATATACATGATACTCCTGGTGGCCAGGGTGAGAACTTCAATACATAACACTTTCCTTGCTGGTGTCACCCAGAACTGATTCTGCCCGCCCCCACCAGCACCACACAACCATTTCTAAATCACTTGGGATCCTGCTAACATCTCAAGGCCCAGCTCATTATATTGCCTAATACAGTGGCCTTTCCTCTCTGAGAGAGGAAATCCCCTTCTCTGCTCATTCGGTTTGTCTCTGCAGCAAAACCACAATTTTGAACTCCAACCAGAAGGCAAGATTAGCTCTAAGTTTGATGGGGCCCACAGCAAAGCGCCCCCTGGGTGGACTTTTTCTTTACTCATGGTCTTACCTGGCAGGAGTAGCAATGGTGGGCAGCAGCCTCAGTGCTCTGACGCAGCTGCCATTTTAAATTCCCATATTGCCAAGGATGCAATATCATGCTGGGGCATTGGAGGCAATTAATAACGGTGACTCAAATACCTTCACTGGAGGGCTGCAATTTCAATTGCCACAGAGAGGAGGTGTCATGGGAGACTAAAATGGCAGGTTAAGCTCCATGGAAACAGGCCGTCCTGGAGCTACAAGCACATGGGCCCCATCTTTACCATACATTTAAAGCAGTGTAATACCACTTTTGGGTCGCGGGTGGCGCTGTGGGTTAAACCACAGAGCCTAGGACTTGCCGATCAGAAGGTTGGCGGTTCGAATCCCCGTGATGGGGTGAGCTCCCGTTGTTTGCTCCCAGCTCCTGCCAAACTAGCAGTTCAAAAGCACAAAGTGCAAGTAGATAAATAGGTACCGCTCTGGCAGGAAGGTAAACAGCTTTTCCGTGTGCTGCTCTGGTTCACCAGCATTAGTCATGCTGGCCACATGACCCGGAAGCTTTATGCTGGCTCCCTCGGCCAGTAAAGTGAGATGAACGTCGCAACCCCAGAGTCATCTGCGACTGGACCTAACAGTCAGGGGTCCCTTTACCTTTAATACCACTTTTACAGTCACAGCTTCCCTCTAAAAATCCTGGGACTGTAGTTTGTTAAGGGTGATAAATGTTTTTAGGAGATTCCTATTCCCTTCACAGAACTACGATTTCCAGAGTATTTTATCATGAAACTCAGAGAACTGTAGCTATGATAAGGCTGGGGTGGGAGAAGACAGGCTGAGTAGCATATACAGTGGTACCTCGGGTTACATACGCTTCAGGTTACAAACTCCGCTATCCCAGAAATAGTACCTCGGGTTAAGAACAGAAATCATGCTCTGGCGGCGCGGCAGCAGCAGGAAGCCCCATTAGCTAAAGTGGTGCTCCAGGTTAAGAACAGTTTCAGGTTAAGAACAGACCTCCAGAATGAATTACCGTATTTTTCGCTCTATAAGACGCACCAGACCACAAGACACACCTAGTTTTTGGAGGAGGAAAACAAGAAAAAAAATATTCTGAATCTCAGAAGCCAGAACAGCAAGAGGGATCTCTGCGCAGTGAAAGCAGCAATCCCTCTTGCTGTTCTGGCTTCTGGGATAGCTGTGCAGCCTGCATTCGCTCCATAAGACGCACACACATTTCCCCTTACTTTTTAGGAGGGAAAAAGTGAGTCTTATAGAGCAAAAAATACGGTAAGTACTTAACACGAGGTACCACTGTACTGATGTTATCACTGCTGCCCATGAGCATCCACTGTCGAGGGTGGTTGCTTCACTTTGTTTAATGGGCGAATCGGTCCTGGCAGTTATTTATACTTGCGCAACATTCAATCGAGCCCTTGCCTCAGAAGTCCTCAGTGGGGACCACTAATTGCCAGCAAAGGAAGACAAGGCCTTGTCATGGATTTGAGATCCTCAGTGGGCAGCACCAAGGAAAATGCGGGGGGGGGGGGATCTACCCAAATAAACCCGGTGCAGTGTTACTTATGATTATGTGTGTAAATCTTACTGAATGTGGTTGCAATGTCAAATCTTTTGTAAGCTGTTTGGGAACCTCTTTGGACTAATGTTGTAGGATAAAATAATTCTACATTCATTCATTCATTTTTTTAAAAAAAATGCTGATATACTGCAACATAATGAAAAAGATCAAAACACTGTACAACAAATATATGTGTGTGATCTATATATTACATTGTAAATACATTATATAAATAAAAATATAAAATTAGTTTCTTTTCCTCTTTCTTCAGTTACAATACTTGTGGACTCAGTTCATTTGAGGAACTGCTAACATTGAACTATTTATTTATTTTTACATATACATACATATATACATACATACATATATATATATATATATATATATATGTATGTGTGTGTGTGTGTGTGTGTATATATATATATATATATATATATATATATATATGTATTTATATACATACATAATACATACCCCTCCTTTTCCCCTAACACCCAACTGAGAGGTGCCACAACTGAATTCCGGCTCAAAAAAAGCCCCACAGATGAGTTAATCTCATATTTTATAAAAATACAATGTTTTCAGAGAATCCAGCTACTGAGAATGGCTGCCTGCCTCCAGATTCAGTAGGAAACTCTGCCTGGTTCATTTCTGAAGACAACCGCTAGAGAGCGCTATTGATATATATATTTTGTTACCTTTTCCCATATGACTGCTTTTCTCCCCACACCCCTTTCCTTTCTTCAATGCCTTCCTTTGCTTTTCATCTACTATCATGCAAACATCAGGAGCCTTTTGAAATGGGATTGTGAATGGATTTGTGAGTGGAATGAGTGCTTAATAGTCAGTCAAACTCTATGAGAAAATTCCTGTGGTGTTCTTTTCAAGCGTCACTTACAGAGAGAATTGAGGCCTGCAGCTCTTAACATTTGCAATTTTGGGGTGATACCATTGCACCATGTCTCCTCTCATGGCTAGTCCCTGCCACCATCTTCCCTGGCTCTGTGGTTTCTGTCCCTCATGACTACTCCATTCCTGCTCCCCACCACTGCTTCCCTTCCCCATACAGACACACATGTGAATCCCCCCATGGCCTCTGACTTTTCCTCTCGCATTCTCTATGCCCAGTGCTGGTGCCCATTGAGAGGCCATCTTACCAGTAGTCAGCACAGAAGAGGTGGGGGACTTCAGCTGACAACATGGACAACTAACAAGAAAGGAATTGGCGCTGTGGGTTAAACCACAGAGCCTAGGACTTGCTGATCAGAAGGTCGGCAGTTCGCATTCCCACGACGGGGTGAGCTCCTGTTGCTCGGTCCCTGCTCCTGCCAACCTAGCAGTTCAAAAGCACGTCAAAGTGCAAGTAGATAAATAGGTACCACTCCAGCGGGAAGGTAAATGGCGTTTTCATGTGCTGCTCAGGTTCACCAGAAGCGGCTTAGTCATGCTGGCCACATGACCCGGAAGCTGTACGCCGGCTCCCTTGGCCAATAAAGCAAGATGAGCGCTGCAACCCCAGAGTCAGTCACGACTGGACCTAATGGTCAGGGGTCCCTTTACCTTTATGCGCCATTAACTTTAAAGAGTATTACATTTCTCAAAGAATCATGGGGGTAGCTTACCCCTCACAGAGCTATCAGTTGCCAGCACTCCTAACTGTGGTTCTCATGGTGCTTTGTGGGAAGCTGTGTGCTTTAAATTTGCTTTAAATGTACGGTGTGTACACAGGCTGGGACAACTTCCTCAAGTTTAGACTTTGAATCCCACTCCAGTGTGCTGTGGGGTAAAGAATTGGAGAGTTAGATAGGCAACTCAGTAGGACTTTGTGGGCACCATACAGATGGATTGGGGGCCTATTGGGTATAAGGCAGGGTCCTACATTCTATGAAGAAGGCCAGAGGTATAATGTGCAACACTGTCAGTTGAAAGACTGTCAGCAGGATTAGAAAATGGTTAGGAAAGACAATGCTGTAAATAATGGGAACCAGAGGGAGGATTGCTGAGGAAATAGCATCTCCTCTCCTTCCCATGACCCTCTTGAGTTTCAGAGCAGAAGTGAGATTCAAACCCATGTCTTTGTGGCTCATGATAGCTCACACACTCAGTCCTTAAATTGTGCTGTGGCTCTTTCCGCTAAAAGATGACAGCAGTTGATCCTGATTTCTAAAGGAATCACCTTGCCAGACCCAGCAAGCATAATTCAGTGAATGGGGATTTTTTTAATCCCTGAGGACCCTTACAAACTGATTGGTGGTGGTGGATTCTGAGTGACAAAATCAGTCATGGTTTTATTTTACTTTTTTGTCAGCAATGTAAGTGAGAGAGCAAAATGTTGGCAACTCAAGTGGGCAGGAGGGAATTGACCCAGATTTTTCTCCAACTTCACCTGAGCTGAATCTTCCTTCTGCCTCTTTCCTCTCAGCTGCCTTGTCAACTTGTGACATCTCAGGGAGTCCATAGCCAGTAGCAACAGCAGAGACCAGGGACATGCACACTATAAAACTGGGATATTTGCACTCCTGTGTAATTAACACTTTTCAAAAAGGCAGATGTATTCAGAAATGCATTTATTTAGAAATAAAGCTGGCTTGCTGAAGCCCCTCTTCATTACTTTCATGCGTGGTCTCAGGAAAAACCTTGCCAGCTCCAGACATCCCTGAAAGGAAAACACAGGTGGCAGTGTGATGGGGATAGCTACATTTTGGCTGTGTAAACCAGGCACCTCCACTGGCTTCTGCCTGGCAATGCCATCCCTGACTTCTGAAGGCAGCCCTGTTTGGGGAAGTTTTTAATGTTTAATGCTCTATTGTGTTTTTAATATTCGGTTGGGAACCATCCAGAGTGGCTGGGGAAACCCAGTCAGATGGGTGGGGTATAAACAAACAAACAAACAAACAAACAAACAAACAAACAAAATTATTATTATTATTCAGTCAGCCCACTTCCACTGGCTTCCAATCCTGAGTATTCGCTGGTTCACTCATTCACCATGTGCCTGGGGGCCAGTCTCCACTCCCTCCCTCCTGAGTGTATTGTTCCCAGTCATGCCACATCTGGAAGGCCACATACGTCTCACCCTTGAACACACAATTTGCCTCAAACACATTCAAAAACCTCCCATTCACACAAAGAGACGCATTAACTCATCAGGCATTCTCCATTCACGCCCCAGCTTCAACCCACAAATACTACACAGCTCTTGTCAGCAGGCTTCTGAAGGTGAACTTCAACTAGCTCACATCCCAGACTATCAGCCTGCTTCAGTCTTGTGGTATCTACCAGCATCCAAATACGAACTTCACTGGCTTCCACACATCAACTGCAGCTTCTGCCAGGTCCATTGCCAGGTATCAGCCAGTTTCCGTCCATAGATATAAGTTTCCATAGACATTAAATGCAACAAGATAACAGCTTTTCTTAATGCAACAAGATAACAGCTACCAAAAATACAAATGAAATAAGTAGCATACAGAGTCTTTCTTTTAAAAATGTTATTTTATTTTGACAAAGTAATACTCATATATATATAAGAATAAAAATGTGCACCCCACCACCAAGACCATTCCATTGTAACTATCCAACATCCCAAATTTCAGCACCTCTTGCGTTGGTTTGACCCCTTTCCATTTTAACAGTACAGTCGTACCTTGGTTTTCGAATAGAATGCGTTCCTGAAGTCCGTTCAACTTCTGAAACATTCAGAAACCATGGCGTGACTTCTGTGGCTTCGCATTGGCTGCAGGAGCATCCTGCAGCCAATCGGAAGCTGCAGAAGCCGCGCTGGACATTCAGCTTCTGAGGCAAAGTTCGCAAACCAGAACACCTGCTTCCAGGTTTGTGGCATTCAAGTTCCAAGTTGTTCATGAACTAAGCTGTTCGAAAACCAAGGTGCGACTGTACAAATTCTACAAACACCCTCCATATCTCCTCAAAATAATTTTTCCTGCATATTCCCCGTCTTACTTTAATGGCACATGTTTATTTATCATTAATAGCTATATCCCACACCTCTTTATACAATTCTTCCATTTTATATTCTGCTTGCCCCTTCTACTTCCTAGCTATAATAATTTGTGGAGCTGTCAATAAATTTGTGAGCAAGTTCTTCATAGCCTGCAAACCTTCCACCCCATCATAAATAATGCTACCTCTGGACTTTTGGTCAGCTTTAACCCAGTGATTTCTGTTATCTCCTTAAACACACTTTGCCAGAAAAATTGTACATATTTGCACCCCCACCACATGTGAACATAACTCCCTGTGTCCTGGCATCCCCTCCAACATAACACCGAATATTGCTTGTTTATTTGATTTAATCTGACTGGCGTTAAATACCACCTCCAAACTAATTTATAATAATCTTCTTTTATTCGTATAAACAGCATTTTCAACGTACAATTCTCCCATATTTCCCCCCAGCTTTGACTATCTATATGCCCTGCCAGAGTACTTTCTTAAAGGTAACTATTATTATTATTATTATTATTATTATAAAAAATTTCAATGTGAAATTATAATAAAAATTACAAACATTGAATCCAAACTAATACTATATAAACAAGAAAGAAAAACAAAAGAAAAAGCACACATCTACAAATAAAACCATATCTTCATTCTAATCTAGTCATTACATATATATACACATATTGACTTCCTTCCTTTGTTCTAAGACCTCAAAAATTTTACTCTTTTTAAATTGTTGTGTCTAATTTAGATTACTTCTATCTGTATACTTTTTTACACCATTTTTCTTTTTCTTTAACCCTGTAACTCATCATTCATTACATACTGATATGTTTACTCCAGAACAATGTTTTTTCATATCCTTTTTAGCACATCCCCATTCTTTTAATAATTCCTGGTCCAATTGTCCCTTTATGAATACTGTGAGTCTTGCCAGATTTATATATTCACAAAATTTAAATTGCCATTCTTTCATTGATGGAATTTTTCTCCCTTTCCAATTTTTTGCTTTAAGCATCCTGGCAGCTGTCGTTGCATAAAGGAATACTTTCCTTTGATTGTCAGGAATATCGTTTGTGATTATACCTAAAAGGAATGCCTCCAGTTTTTTACTGAAATATATTTTAAACATCTTTTTGATTTCTTCATATATTTCATTCCAAAATTGTTAAAGGTAACTCTTATCACCCACAGAAGGTAGTAACACCTACCAATCTCTCCCACCCCACCCCGGCTCTTTCCTTTCTTGCCCAGCTTCCAGCTATGGATAACATGCAACCAGCATGTTAACTTGCGTTCTTCCTGTGGCTGGCTGGTGCAACAGCTGTGACAGGATGCCACTTGCTTCTTTCTGATCCTCCTCTCAACATGGATGGTCCTGCGCATGTTGCAGGATGGTTTTCGGTGCCAGCAAGTTCTCTTGCACTGTAGAGATGATCTGGCTGGCCAGCAAGAGGAATCCATAGTGGCTGGTGTCTCTTAGTTTGAGGTCCTGCCTTAGTCTTAAGTCAG